ATGGACTAGGAAATCTTGATTTAAAAAGCTGGCCAGTGTATATTACTGATCATGTACTAAGTAACAGGGACAAACATTGTGACGTAGAATGTCAGTGTATTTCATAAACTCATTGATCGAGAAAGCACCTCACTTCAGTAAAAATAGGGAGATTTAAATAGATTTCTGCAGAGGTATGTGGGTCAATTCATTGCAAAATGTTGATAATGTTTTAAACTTTAAAAAGAATCAAGGAATTATATTTGTAATGATTAGTGTTTTAGATGATCTAATTACCTATAGATAAATATATTCATTGATAAAGATAAACGACATTTCTTGTATCATTTTATGTTTGTGGGCATAAGCGTCTTTCGTTGACTTTCCTTTCATTATGTCAATAGACTGGTAGTAAGCAGTAGGAACCATTGCATTATTCAGGGATATATTTAATTTAAACCATTGTACATGGTTAAATTTCCTATTTATTTAATATCCATTACTGGTAAAAATAATGTGTTGTAATAGTATTGTACACTTAATACACGATTCATGGATTCCGAGCAAGAGATGAACTTTATTTTAAAATTCTCCCACCAAAACATATATTTCTTGTTCAAAGGGATCAAATGTGTGTTTACTGTTTAGTTATTTTTTCCAAAAAAAATCGAGCTCAGGAGAGAGCCCTATTACACATTGAAGCTATTGCCTTTCCTATTTGTACAGTAATAATTATACTACACCCTACAGGATGCTGATCAGTGTTATACAGTATGTAATGTTATACATGTACTCTTGTGTGTGGTTAAGTGAAGTGGATTCTATCATTTTAATCAGCATATACATTAATTTACAATCAGTCCAATCCCTCCTCTTACCCAATCCCTTGTTCTGTATGTGTTGTTGTATTATAGACTGGCCTGCCTGTCTGATATCCAATTTTCCTCCGTACGGTAAAGACAGGCAATACCAGTCTAGCTGTATTATCAATGTTTTTGTTTCTTTATTTTTTTATGAGTTTGATTTTATTTGACAAAATTCAGGTGACTTACGATGTCTGGATATCCAAAGTCTGAGATGGCAGGGGGACAGCCGATGGCACAGCCCGGAGGACCAGTAGTGGCTCAGCCTGGGGCAGGAGGTGGGGACCAGTTTACAATTTATACAGATTTATTTCCCTTTATTGAGACATACTTATATTTGTATCAAAGCATGTCATTAAGAGGAAATTACTTTCGGTTTTGATAGGTGTTCCTGTCTGGTTTCATTGCTTTATTTAAATCTTCATATCTTTAGAAAAAAAAATCTGGAAAATAAATGCTAAATGTTATATGGCGGAAACAGTTTTCTTCCCTGTATTAAAATAACCACTATAATTACCCGGTAATAGGTGCACAATATTTTAAATCTAGTCATAAATGAATCTCCTTTATGCATATTGGGCAGAATGTTAATTCTCTTCTTTCTTTTTAAGGGAGGGGGATGTTCATACAATCAATTTAGACAATACTAAGGGGATCGAACCTTTTTTCTCATAACTTTGAGCAGGATATTTGTAGTACATGTACATGTATATTCTTACATATTATGTTCTTTCACAGATAATGACCTATCCAAATACATGTACAAGGGTTCTTTGACACGGATGTCCCATATAGTTCAATATGATCATTCCTAACAATCATAATAAACTCTTAATCCAAATACTGTGGGATTTTAACACACTTTGTATGCATTTTATCTACTTTATGATTTGAACACAAAAATAAAATGAACTCCCTTATCTCGGCACAAAATACTATCATTCTAGCATTCATATCCCTTCATGGAAAGAGGAGGTGCATGCCTTGGGAGATATAACTTATATAAGGCCTCAGCGTCTGGGTTTTTTCTGTTAAATTACAAATAAATAAACAAATTCCATTTCTAAGAGTACCTGATCTGTTTGTTAGTTGTCCCTGGACAGGAGACGGTAGTCTCTGACTATCCTGTACAGACACCAGGTAAAGTATAATAACTGTATCTGTGTGAGCATCAAGGCCAGATGTGGTCCATATAATGTACTAACGTACTGAGTGAAAAGCTATAGTTGATTGTGTGGACATGTATTTATTGAAGTTTGCCTTTTGTTTTGTGGAATTTTCAATTTGTATTTCAAATTATAAAAAATATAACTGTAATATTTAATAAAGACCCTCTTTAAAAAAAAAATTAAAAAGGGAGAGATAATTGACATTGGATTTATATTTCTTTATTCATCCAATTAGATGTAGAGAGCTTTAGAAACATTTTTAATTTCAAATTTGTTGTAATTGTTTATTAAGGTCTTTGTCTGATATTTCTTAATATCGATATGTTTATCAGAACTAGGAAGGCAGTAAACAAGAAAACCAGTGATTAATTAATCAAAATAAAACAATGTTTGAGTTTTACGGAATTGGATGTATATTGTAACTGTCTAGTCATACTATAGAAACTAGACTATTTATCCAATAGAAAAACAATACACAGGGATATATAGACATAACACCTGCTTGTGGTCATTATAAACATCTAGTACAAAACAACCATGTGTTTGTTAACTAGAGATTTGTAAAAACAAGAGACATAAATAACAGGGATTTGCAACTGTTCAAAGTCTCGCACGATCTCACGGTCCCTGTTGTTTACTTCTTCAAATCTTGTGCAACTTTTGTTTGCTTTTAAAAATCATTAAAACCTTTCAAATTATACACCCAAGTATGATAAAATTAATTTCATTTAGATCAAAATACAAGACAAAAGAGTTATTCTTAGGGTAGTACCAGGACCGTCACATATTTCGGTAAACAAACATGCTAATGGCGGAGTTGCAAATCTCTGGTATTAATGTCTCTGTTAAAATCATATAAATACATGTACATAGTAAATACTTCATTTGGTTTCCATTTTTATGGAATTTTGAACCTTAAAATTGGGAAGAGATTTATAAGGAATTGATGGATTTATACACGATAAGAGGGCCTATATGAGGGGTTCCCTGTCAAATGATAATTCCACTCCATTAAAAATGTATCCCAGATCAAAACTCTGGTTACACAGAATAATATTCATTCTGTGACAGTTTCTCTTTTGATGCAGTTGCATGTTTTTTTCTTTATTGTAAAGATACTGGAGTTTGACCACTAATTTATATAAGAAAGCTAGTCTATTGTGTATAATGAGTGATGTAATAAATAACTTTAAATTTATAACAACAGTGTGTTTTCAAAGATGATTCTGGTTTATAAAATGTATGCTAGTATATAATATTTTGATAACCTTTTTGATTGAAATTGAATATCAAGACTAACTTTAGTAGTATTTTCCATATAAAAAAAACTTTTTTGAGGACATAGAGGAATTATACAATGTACTATATTGCTTTTCAAATGCATATTGAGTAAGGATACTTTGCATATACAAATTAATTAATATTTTTTAAAAATTAGGGACAAAACATGACAAAGACAGAAAGACAATAATTATTATTATTATGAAGAAATTGTTGATTCCTTGTGTACAAAATATGTAAATGACAGTGTAAATGTGTTTGAGGCAATGAAATCAGATCTGAAACTGAGAAATTGCTCTGCTACTCTATTTTTTGATAAGAAATTGGAATATACATATAGCTTTATGATAATAAATAAACTTATTTATATGTGATGATGATCATAAATGAATTTTTTACTTAGACAATCTGTATTGTTAGGCATTGCTCATGTAATCTGTATTGTTAGGCATTGCTCATGTATAATGTTACCTCAGGGAAAAAAAAATTGAAAAAAATGTTTGCTGTTGTTTAACTATAATCAAGTTATAATTTTTTAATTCAGCTGTCCCAAGTGCCCCTGGTGGCTGGATGCAGGCCCCCACCAATGTCCCCGCTAACTGTCCTAAAGGACTGGAATACCTGGCTCAGGTGGACCAGCTACTGATCAAACAGAAAGTAGAGGCCCTAGAGGGTAAGGCAAAGAGAAAGCAGCATGGGAATCAAATAGGAAGAAAAGGCAGTCACTGATTACAAAGAAAGCAGGAACTAAAAGCATTGGCATATGCTCATGCAGCCATTTTACACAAATGGGGTTTCATACTTTTGATAAATGGTTCAATCTGCTTTTCATTGAAAAAAGATACTAGAACCAGTAAATTAAAAAAAATTTAAGTTGAAGGAAAAAGCCGAGATTAATTTTTAAGTCATAGTCAAACTAATAATATAAAGATTTGTTTTAATAATTACAAATCAATTATGAGGTATATATCTAATTGGTTTTTTTTTATTTTTCAGCTTTTACTGGCTTTGAGACAAACAACAAGTATGAGATTCTGAATTCTCTTGGACAGAGAGTGTACCATGCTGTAGAGGGTAGGTATCCTGGAGTAAATCTGGAAGTAGGTAGAGCGTAATTAGAGATTTTAGAGTCATAAAGGGCAGGGCCAATAATCACACTTGTACTCTGCCATTACTTAAACATTTTGAACAGATAAATTTTTTAACAGAATTAAATGCATAGTAGATAATTTGTGTTATTTATAGACACCTGTTGCTGTACCCGTAACTGCTGTGGGAGTTCCCGACCATTTGATATGAAGATTCTGAACAATCAGAACCAGGAAGTCATCCATCTGTCCCGACCGCTCAGGTGTAGCTCATGTTGGTTTCCCTGTTGTTTACAGGTAAGTTCTGAAACTAAAGGTACACAGTCAATAGTTTTGTCTCCAAGATGAATTTAGTTTTCCATTTGTACATAATGGTCTTGTGAGCTGTTGACAACCAGGAAGCTATTCGGACGTGTACACTAGGAGATATAAACTTGTGGCACTATTCTTATCTGATGTACAACTGATTCAAAAAATCACTGAAAAAACAAATTAATTTATTTGGCACACTGTTTGCAATTTCAAAATATTTTAGGGCCTTGAATCAAGATATGGGTCCCTTATAATAATTATATGGTTTGTCTTGTGCTACCTATTTACATGACATGATAACTTGATTCCTATCAAGAAACACAGAATTCATATTAACTACACAGGTGAATAACGGTAGAGGCTGTTTTGCGAGTCTCTTTGTCATATTCAGTCATGAAGCTTGAACATGTTGTTATCTGTAGACTTTATATACATATAAAGTGTATACTACATGATTATAGAGAATGCTTTGGAAAATTTAAAAATTGGTCAAATGTGAAGGTCAAAGATCTAGATTGAGGTTTATGAATAAAGCTTTGCAAATCTTACAACAATTAAATTTTGAATTTTTTTTTATGCCCCCCCCCCCCCCCCCCCTTTGAAGAAGGGAGGGCATATTGCTTTGCTGCTGTCTGTCAGTATGTCGGTCGGTCTGTCAGTCCACTTAGTTTCCGTTCATTTTTTTCACAACCGTTGCACATACTGAAATGAAATATAGTATACGGATATATCACATGAATATCTAGGTCAAGTTCTGTTTTGGGTACGATCGCACCATTTTTGACAGAGTTATGCCCCTTGGACTTAGAAAAATTCCAGTTATTTGCAGTTTCCATTCATTTTCTTCGCAACCATTGCACATACTGAAATGAAATTTAGTATACGGATATATCACATGAATATCTAGGTCAAGTCTTGTTTTGGGTACAATGGCACCATTTTTGACAGAGTTATGCCCCTTGGACTTATAAAAATTCCAATTATTTGTAGTTTCCATTCATTTTCTTTACAACCATTGCACATACTGAAATGAAATTTAGTGTACAGATATATCACATAAATATCTAGGTAAAGTTCTGTTTTGGGTACGATTGCACCGTCTTTGACAGAGTTATGCCCCTTGGACTTAGAAAAATTCCAATTACTTGCAGTTTTCGTTCATTTTGTTCACAGAGGTTGCACATACTGAAATGAAATTTAGTGTACAGATTTATCAGATGAATTTTAGGTCAAGTTCTATTTGAGGTAGGATTGTGCCATTTTTGACAGAGTTATGCCCCTTAGACTTAGAAAAATTCCAATTATTTGCAGTTTCCGTTCATTTTCTTCACAACCGTTGCACATACTAAAATGAAATTTTGTTTACAGATATATCACATGAATAATGAATATCTAGGTCAAGTTTTGTTTTGGGTACCATTGCACCATTTTTGACAGAGTTATGCCCTTTTGGACATGTTGGACTTGGAAAAATTCCAATTTTGGGGGAGGGGGGCATAAGTGTTTTACAAACATCTCTTGTTTCAAAGTGACATTTATCAATTCAAGTGGTCAATTTGACTCTTAGCCAGTTCTTAGGTAATAGTACTATCCAGATCAAGCTAAAAATTATTAAGCATACTGTGACACCCTATGACTTTGTCTGTAATCGTTTTTTTTAAAGTGATAATGAAATAATGATTATTTGGCTGTGAAGCATTTATTATAGACGTGTGTCCTTGATTTTAGAAAGTAACAGTAGAGGCCCCTCCAGGAAAGGTGGCGGGATACGTATCTCAGGCCTGGAGTTTGTGTAAACCTCGTATGAGGATTGAGAACGCTGAAGGTGAGACCATGCTGAGGATCAAAGGACCATGTTGTCAGCTCAACATCTGTGGAGACATCGAGTTTGATGTAAGTAAAATGTTTTAAAATCTGATTTGACAATTTTACATCTAAAATCATATTTTCTTTCTGTTTGTCATCTTTAACTTTCTGTTTCCCAATATTTACTTTCTGTTTTGTATCCTTAATATCTGTTTGATGGATGACCTTTACTTTCTGTTTGATGACCTTTACTTTCTGTTTGTCAGGTTTATGCCCCGGATGAGGAGACCTATGTAGGTCGGGTCACTAAGCAGTGGTCTGGACTGGGTAAGGAGCTGTTCACTGATGCTGATAACTTTGGAATCTCCTTCCCTCTGGATCTGGATGTTAATGTCAAGGCCACCCTCCTTGGGGCCGTCTTCCTTTTGGTAAGTCCGATTCCTTCTCTCTATATCGGAAACCTTGCTAACGATTTTAAGGAGAAAAGACTCTTTATCTCAAGGAATTCCAATTTCTATTAATAAATTGCTGTTTTCTTTATCTTATGTTTATATGTTCAATCATGATTAGTTTTAAACTGAGATAACCCTGTATTGTATACTATATTTTGCCATCTATTGTAAACTGAATTTTCTTGAATGTCAACATATTTACCGTTTCCATCTTCTGTCAGAGAACTGGCATAATTTCATTATGGGTTTAACACATTAATTACAACACTTTATTTCTGTATATTAAAAGAATATTGATTGGAATTGTCTATAACATAAACTGAAACAATATTCAAATAACAAAAAGTAACAAAATGTTTTATTTTTTCCCATTTTCTTCACTACAGGATTTCATGTTCTTTGAAAACAACACAAAGAAAGATGACAAAATGGTAGGTTGATACATTTATAATAATAACTGACTTTATATTTACGTAAAAATGAGCATCTAATAAGTAAACATGGTGTTAAGGCTTAGTTTTGCAAACAATTGATCACTGACAGAAGTTCAGCTGATGATGTTATACATAAGGTATCAGTGTCATAGGTGACAGCTTGTGTTTTATTTGTTTTATAGGAGAATAATTTCCTTTTCTGCTTCACAAAATAAAAAAAAATCAAGATCAGTTATGTTATCAACGCAGTATTTATCTTTTGACATGTACATGCATGAATTCTGTATTAATGAGCACAGTATTTTATTTTGCAATCCCATGTATGATGTATAATAATGAAAGTACACGTCATTGTAAGCTAAATAGTTGAATTTAGTATGAAATATCAATAAAGAGCAAGGAGGTACTGACACATATTGTATTATGACATTCAGAATGGATTAGAATACTGGGACTGGGAAATTTTTTATGCATTATAATTCAGTTAATATGTGGTTAGATACTTGTTTACATATTTACACATTATGTTTAATTTGTTCAGTCAAAATCTGGATATAGATGAGTGTAAGTTAATTTTTTTTTTCCTTTAGCCTCCATTTCCAAAAAAATGCTAGTAAAAAGCTAGGGCTTGTTGTACTTTAGAACTGTTTGATTAAAAAAAATCTTCATAAGCTGGAAATAAAGTACATGTATTAAAAAAGGAAACCTGCATGTTTATGGATGAATATTTGATCTAGAAATTTTATGCATGATATTTACATCTATGGCATGTTCATTCTATTATGTACTCTAAATATCATGTTCTCTCTTATGGCCTGAGAAGCAGAATTTAACATGAAGAAAAGGTGGGGTATAATGGAATAACTTTTTGTAATTCAATATCTGACATGTCTGGATCATAACTATGCAAAGAAGAAAGTTGGAACAAATTTTTGACACAAATTGGAGAACTTTAAAACCTCTGATATACATAATCTAAAGATTATTGTAGCAAATCCAAAGTCACTCGCCAAAAAAAAGTAAAGTTTGTCTTCAGGCCCAAGTTGATACTGGAGCAAAAATTAAAGGCTCATAAACACATTGTCATGTCATTGGATCAGATACTTGTATAGAAATAAATGTATTTATACCAACTGAAATGTATACTATATTCATAATCAAGTAATGGCATATATTCCACACGTATTGGAGGGGGTGCTTTAAAATTAGAAGGGCAATAATTTATTAATTAAATAAACAAGCATACATCTTTAACCTGTAAGACTTATTCATAAGAATTCTAATTAAGATCTTTATTTATAAAAGTTCCTTATAACAGGGCTTGAGCTGTGATTCGCCATTGTCGCCAATTGCGAATTTTTTTCAAAAGTGGCGAAAAGAAATTCATAAGTGGCGAAAATGAATTTTTTAGATGTACCATGTACAAAATTTGTGTAGACCTAATTAGCTCCTTTGTTTATTCAATGTATACAGATAAGTCCCTTTGTTTATTTAATGCAGCAGAGGTGTGAAAACTGAAACCTACATGTAGGAAATCACGTCTTGCTTGAACGAACACAGCTGACTAGGTAATTAGCCTGGAGCAATAAAGGGTTACAAAATTGCTTGAAATAATATAATTTGGATTAAACAAGGGGGGAATAAAGTGTTATAAGGAGATGAAGTTTGTAAATAAAAGATTTTTATCAACAAAATATGGATCTGTTTAGATCATTTTTTATTTAAACCGAAAGTAGGGAAACATGACGAAAATTGTAAAGAATGGCTTCAAATTTGACATAATGAAAATTGAAAAAATGTTTACATTATACCATAAACTGACACAGAGTTAAAAAGAAATTGGTTTGAAAACAGAATTATCTTAGTAAATTACATTGAATTATTTACAATTACATAAGTCTTTTACACATGTATACATGCATATTTGATGTATTCCTTTTAGACAGGATTATTGTTGAAATGATTTATGTCAATTACTAATTGTATAATTGTTTTGCTATTCATTGGCTTTTCTTTTCCTTATTATTGTAACAATCTCATACTTTTCTGTTATGTTCTCTAAATTAAAAATAAAATGTTCTGTTCTATTCTAGTAAACTCTGGAGTCTCCAAGTTGTTAAAATAAAGTCAAGTTTAAAAAAAAAACACCTAATTAGGACCCCGCAAGGATTTGCGGGTGCCCTATAGTAATCACTCTGTCTGTCCGTCCGTCCGTCCGTCTGTCTGTCTGTCTAGCTGTCCGTCTGTCACTCTTCCGTCCACAAATTTTCTGTTTTTTTCTAATAACTTTTTTTATGGTTGCCCAATCAAGTTCAAATTTGGTATGGTAGTTCAGTAGGCAGAAATACATATTTTGATGCTAAGTTTTGTTGTCTATGTCTTCTGGTTTAGAGCTGGGGTGGTGGGGTAGATTCCTTAATTATGCATTAGAATGAACGGGCAACTTTTTTTATGGTTGCCCAATCAAGTACAAATTTGGTACAGTAGTTCAGTAGGCAGAAATGCATATTTTGATGCTAAGTTTTGTTCTCTATGTCCCATAGTTTGGAGCTGGGGTGGTGGGGTAGATTCCTTAACTTCATAATAAAATGCATTGGCAAAGAGAGATAACTGCTGAAGATGTTCACATTGTAAACTGAATGCTGCTAGGAGTCCCTTGAGATTAATTAGCTTTCCTCCTGAAGAAAATCCAGAGCATTATCTTTATCTGTCACATTGAGATTAATTACCACCTCTGTCTGCAAATGAAGTTTGTTTGAAAGTTAAATCAATTTAGAATGCTATGAACACTCTGAAATGTGGATTTTAATATAATTTTTTATAATTTATTTTTGTTTGATAGTTATAATTTCATTGAAATTTAAAAAAAAAAAAAAAGAAAAGAAAAAGATTAAAGAAGTTTTTTTGATTTACTTCTTTTCACTTTTTTTTCACTTTTTTTTTAAAATTAATTCAAGAATACATGTTTAATTAATTTTTAATGTAGTTGTATAAAAACCCCATTCTATCATTAACACTGAAAAAGTTCTTATTGTAAATTCAGAAGAAAATGATGAGAAAGGTACAATTAATCCCTTGGGATTAATTATCTAGCCTGCTGCAGAAAATTTAGTAGGCTTTTCTTTATCTGTCACTTTAAGATTAATGAAAACCTTTGTCTGCAACTGCTGTTTGTTTGAAGTTAAGGTCAAGCCTTCATGATATTTGCATTCATTGAAGGCTGGCATTTCATAACACAAAGCTTCATAATTGTTTAAATTTACATTCAATGTTAAGTTGTTATTTACTGCCTAATGTAAATACAAAAATATTATTTTCAGGTTTTTGAATATTCAGGAATTATCATTAAATTTTAAGAATACAGTTGCTGTTGCGTATTCTTCATAATCATTCTGTAAGCTGCACCCTTTTAATTCTACCCCATGGCGGGGCCCTTGCTGACTGGTCAGTTTTCTAGTTTTCATTACTTTTTAATTGCTTCTTTTCACAATTAATTAATGAAATGATGAAAATTTCCATTTTAAAAAAATGTCATATATTTTTACTAGGTCTGTAGCCCCCCCCCCCTTCCCAGGCAAAAAAAATATTATAATCAAGAGGAGATTTTCTGTTTTCTGTCAAGAGTTGGCTGATATCAATTCAATATCTTTTTTTTTAAATGGATACTATCATAAGCTTTAAACATTACAACTTTAAAACAATGTCTGTGATAAATTTAATGAAAAAAATGGAATAACATAAAGTGCATTGCATTGTCGAGAAATCAGATGTAAGTATGCCTTTCCTTTTGTCGCGAAAAGTGGCGAAAAATATTTTCAGTCCAGTGGGAGCCCTGCTTATAATCAAGGTTTACATAATCTAAAGTCTTTTTATAAATGTTGAATATCAAGAATGCATGTAATTACATGTAGGACAGGGCAAAAATAGCGATATTTTGGTATATTGCAATACAATGACAAAAAATATCGTATTGCAATACGTTTTTGTAATAACGATATATCGGCAAAATGCTAAAACTAAGGAATTTAAATAAATATAAAAAGTGTTGCTAAAAAGCCAAACAGTAAGAAAGACGCTATTTTATGGATGTATTTTAGAGCATAACTTTAATAAAATCAGCAAGATTTTTTTCCTTTTGTTAACTTTAATATCATAGTTATGTATGTTCTTCATGTAAATTAAAGTTAATATTATTAAAAAATATCCCATTTAATAACATTGAAAATATTGCAGTACATATCACAATACAGTGAAAAATATTGCAATATATCGCAATACGAAATCTCAGGTCAATACCCAGCCCTAATTACATGTAATGCAAATGTAATTGTTACAGATTGTAACCTTTATAGTTGATATAATATAATTTTTGAAGAATATTGAAACTTACTACATGTACATAAATGCTTGCATAGTTGTCATGGTTTCATAAAATGCAGGGTTCAAGAATTTTATTCATTTAGAAAAAAATGTGAAAAGCTCTATCATACACATGCAAATCAATAATCTGATATGAAGAAAGTTTTCTTTTTGTTTTTACTAGGCTAGATTTTGTATAATGACATGTATTTTATGTAAGATTTCATGGTGTTGGGCTAGGTGCTAGGGCTTTATTCAGATAATAAATCCCAGTATTACTATTATAAATGATGATATTTACAGTAGAAAAAAAAGTATTTACAAGAAAAATTTATGTATATTTTCAAGGACCATCATAGCTCGTTCTAGGTTTGTATGAATTAATATATGTTTAATAACATCACCAAACATGGGTAGGTGAGTATGGTCACAAATCCTGAGTCTCTTTGGTATTGCCTTCTTAGCACCAGGGATAATTTATCACTCTGTCAGTCAACTTCTTCATTTTCATAAAAAATCTAACATTTGCATCACTGTTAAGTAATAGAGTGGTGCCCCTTTGTAAAAATATTGAATTAGTTCTAGCAAAACTACTCCAATGATTTTTTTTAAAAATCAAGCAAGGATTTTATTCTTTACATTGTTTTCATTGGATTATTATTATTTTGATCTAAATAAGGAACTGTAACATTAATACAAAGTATTTATTAAGATAATGCTTTCATTGCATAACAAGTTTATTTTTTCTTAATAAACATTTTGACTTCTTAAGCTGACCCAGACGGAAAAGTTTTTTAACAAACTACTATTAAACCATCAAAAAACTACCAACAAACTATACTTTTGTGGTTTGTTAGAGTAGTTTGATAGTATAGCATTTAATGAAACACAAACAAACTACTGTTTCTAAAAATAGCTGCAGTGGTTTGTTAGTCTTTCATTTCTGCTGATTGTGATTTCTTTATAGTTTGTTAGACTTGGTGGTATCTTGCAACAGTGTTTTATTAGTATAGCATTTGCATCTAACCACATGGGAAATTACTTTACAGACATGTTTAGGGTTGAATTATCTAAAATTGTTGAAGTTTCCAAGAACAGCTTAATCATTACATCCGGTGTTAGCTATTTGCGCCAATTTTCAAACCACCAAGCAGGTCAGAAACAAAGGAAATGGTGAAGGGACATTCAAATTGTTAGTATCATTCTATAAGATTCCTGACTGGAAAAAGCAGCAATTAACATTATTAAAAGATGGATCTGGATACAGAAGAGGTATTTATATATTGCATGTCATGAAGTTCAGTTTTTACCTAAAATAAGGCTGGACTAGAGTAATTAACCTTTTGTGGATGTGGATGTGTATGGTTTTTACTAGCTTTGGGTTTTTATTCATTTTCAGATTGACCTATAATTCCTATATTAGTTTAGATCAGTTATGCATTGGATTATTGGAAGTATGTATACTTGAAAATAAGACAAAAAAGATATGTCCTTCAAAGTTGCATTAATAAGGCCAGAAAAAGGAAATATTGCAGCATTTTCCATGCCAGATGAAGCAGGGAATATTTATATGTCAGCTTGAAGAACATTTGTTGGTGAAAAACACTATGAAGATGTACACAACATGAAGGAACTATGTGATAAGTACATGGACATTGACTTGGAATTGCATCTCCTAAGCATAAGTGAACATGTTGGATTGTTGCACTTGCATTGGCTAAACTTGTGAATCCTGGAATTTAAAATACTCCGAAACAGGACTTGTTGAATATTTCAAATATGATTGTTTTAGGTGTTTTCAAAGACTTGTGGATTTGTAAAGGAAAATTCAAATCTAGCTGTGTTTTGCTGATTGATTTGTTACCAGTGATTTGTTAGTAGTTTGTTAGAGTGGTTTGATAGTAGTTTGTTAGAGTGGTTTGATAGTAGTTTGTTAGAGTGGTTTGATAGTAGTTTGTTAGAGTGGTTTGATAGTAGTTTGTTAAGAGTGGTTTGATAGTAGTTTGTTGAGTATAGTTTGTTAGCTCATTTGCATGTGATTTGCTGTACTATTAAACTACTTTCAAACCATAGTGGTTTGTTAGTAATTTGTTATAGTAGTTTGTTTGCCCTTTTTTTCCGTATGGGTGACCTCTGCAAGATACTTATTTAATACATTGATTTTAGTCAAAGAAACCTTCTATCTAGAATATTTCATTTAATTTCATTCATATCTTTGTCAAAATACTCAAATAAAATAGCTGAAAGTTTGTGAAAATGATGCATGTAATTAGTCTCAGACAATTTGTTGGAAGGTCACCAAAGGTGAATTGATCACTCTCATAAACAAAATACAAGAGATATGTTCTTTGTAAAATGTAAAAAAAAAAAAAGATATTCAGGCAATAAAATTCAACATTATCCTATTGAATTATTTAAATCCTAAATATGTACCAGGTATATGTATTTGAGAAAGCAGCACATTCTAATTTTATGTTTTATATCTTACAGAAGCATCATGACCACCACTAAATAGATGGGAGGCATTCAACTTACACCGCAGGGTATAAAGCAGTCATACAACCCCCATCACTGCTGATCAAGGATTTAATTGTAGTGGAACAAAATCTTAACAAACACTTTATACTTTTTATCCATTGATAGTCCATATCCATTGTTTATATATTGTTGTTATAAGGTAGCTTTGTTGGGTTTTCAATTGTTAAGAATCATTTTAATATGTAATCCACAGTATTATGATTTGAATATTTTAAAGATATTCAAAGATTTTCCCTGTGTTGACTTCTTAGTATTGGAGTGATAAGAAACTTTTCTTTATGTCGTAAAAAATTGAAAGCAATATAATCTGATATTCTTTTACTTAATGTATAGTTTACAAACAGGATACTGATCCTTTTTTTTGTAATTCCAAGTCATGCAATTTAGATACATGTAACAAAATTATCAAGAAAATGTAGAGGCACTGCATTAATTAGCTTTTTTTTTTATTTTTTCTTTACATGATGACACTCTGCCATTCAGCCAATGGAATGCTCACTGAAAGGTCTGGAATAATGAGTGATTACAGCTAGAGCTCTGCCTTTCAGTCAGCCTTCAGTAAACATTCAGTCATCTTTCAGTTTTACTGAATGGCAGATATTTATCCTGTGCTTTTTAAGAAACAACATATCTTTAGCATTTTAAAAATATTTTTTAATTTACTTTCAAATTTATTAATATTTATGGGGAGAATACTAATCTTGGTGGGGATTTTTATAAACGTTTTTTAGAATTATATATCTGCTTTCTGAATGTACAGTTTCTTGATATGTGTATATAGATTTTAATAGGCACTGCAGCATTATTCTTGTACAAAGACCAAAGCTTACTGTACAGTTTACTCATATCATTTCTTATTGTTGTTCCATATTTGTATTTCTTTTCATTTATTTATTTACACAACTTTATTTTATCATATTTTAAACAGTTCTTCTATTTCACAAATCCTTATTTTTATAGATAATTTAATATTGTATGTGCTCGGATATTAACTTACAAATTTTATTCATTTTTCAAGACTTTTATAACCTATTGTTTTTTTTTTTTTTACAACTTTTACCCCAGAAATCAAATTTTAAAACTGTTTTATGTGTAATAGCATTTTACAGTGTAAACAAACATTCTTATAAATAGGTCCTAACACAGGGCCCTACTTCTATAGTTTTCTATAGTTAGTTTCTCCTGCATTCTCCTGCTTTAATTAGCTCCGCATGCATACATGAATATACCAGTATGTAGCTCATATTGCTATAGATCTGCCTATAAATGTGTTGTGACTTATTCCGGCATGTAGAAGTTTTATAAAGATATTAAATATTTATTTCTTCCTCACTATTTCTCTTGTTTTAAGCAATGAATTTATTTTTCAGCGACAACAAAATGGATAATAAATTGAATAAACAATGCACCATATTGATTATGAATTATGTACTGTATACAATATTATCCAGAAGGGCAAGAATTGACAAAAAAACGTTTGTTTAATTGATCTCTATTTCTTTCTCAGAATTTAATAAATGTTTCATCATTTTTCACTCGCAGTGGAGTTGGATGGGATATAGTAACGCGTTTCAGTTTGTGTGTATGTTAACTTAAAATTGTTGGAAATGGGAAATGACGTACTTTGCATCAGGATCTATGTCGAATGCTGTCTTGATTTAAGATGATCATTGTGAGGGGATGCTCTGCTTTGCAGTGTCCTTGTTTATTTTCAGTTATAAAATTGTACCCAATAGTCCACCCACGTTATCTAAGAAAGAGAACCCACTCTTCTTGCATCTTTAGGGGGAGCAGATTGTCCCCCTTGGTAACAGTCCTACAAGTACCAGTTAATAATTATGTTGAAGGTTCTATTCTGTATATTTTTTTTCCTTATCAAGATCATCAGATCCTCAAGGTCTCAAAATAGTGTGTTTTATACACTAAAAATTATCAATAGTGGAATAAGGATCTTCAATAGTAGGGATATCAATGAGTACCTGGTTAACCAGGCATAAAACCACATCTTCTAACTGTACCTGGAACATGATCACAAAATGTTGAATGTATCAAGTATCCCCATTTGCAAATTTGGTCATCAATGCCTAATTATCATTGGGATGTTCAAAATGATCACTAAATTTTAACAAGCGGCCCATGGGCCTTAACGGTCACTTGAGTATCAAAAGTTTTTCAAGCTACGAGCGTACCTCTGCTTTGAGTCCACCTGGAATTGTCTAAATGGACATATATCACATACATTTTACAGTTTAATGAGATCTCTGTAATTGTTACCAACTTCATACACCTTGACCTCTATTACTCGATGAGTGAATGACATAAACAATGTATAATTCATTTCCATACATGACATTCCTCCAAACAATTTTGAAGATTTCTCCTATTCCTACATAAAATTTGATCCCCAGCTGTGCCCCTTCCCCTCCCCTTAAAATGTTTGGGGAAAATACTTGAATCTGCATTACCTGAGAACTTTAACTGGCATAATATGACTCTTTCATATATAAGCTCCTATACTAAACCTTAATCTTCCAAAGTAATATGGCCCCATCCTACGTTTTCTTATTAACTGGTTTCTATGTGACTGTGTAATTCTTTGAAAAAAGAAAGAAAGAAACAAACATAAAGAATGTTTCGATAATTTCATTTATTCAAGTTTGTACTCACTGATCAACCCACATGCTCATTGGTTTTATCTATAAGTAATATCAGTATCATTTTTTGTTGTTAATAAAATTACCGACATCAATATTCATATCTAAATGCCTTTTTGTAGAGAACTGCAGCTCAGAGTTCTAGCATCTAATGCAATGGCCTGAGAAATGAAACATTTCATAACGCTTTGTTCTTTGGTTCCTGTACTATCATTCATTAAACTACTCTAATGTATAAATAAAAAGTCTTGGCAAAAGGTGCTTAATTCCAATTACACTGAAATTACACAATTAACCCCTAAAAAATTATCACAGTTCAATTTATAGCACCTTTAAACTTGGGATTGACAGGCAGATATACAGACTAACATTTTCTACATAAACCGTTCCAAAACTTGGTTTGAGAGGTGTAGTCACTATTTAAGGAATATCATCTTTACATTCAATCCTTCTTCATAATTACATACGATGTGCAAGTTTGGTTTGAACAATGACAAAGATTATGAATATTTGTACAAGATAAAGATAAATGACAGTTTGGAATAGAAAATACATACATATACACATCAGTTAAATTTAAATATAAATTTATTGACAAACGAATTACAATGTACTGTGCTGGAATCTGAAAAAAGCATATTTTACATTTATATAATTTGTATGTATATAAAAGTAAAAATATTCATACTCAATGGAATGTAACTGAAATACATTACCATTATTTTTTTTGTTTTATTCTATTTTTTGTTTCTTCTGCTCTCTACCAAACTTAAATGGTATCAAACACAGACATCAATAAAAACAAGAGGCCCATAGGCCACATCACTCACCTGACAAGCTTTGACCATGATGTCCTTTACCAAATTTCCCCCTTGTAATACATATTGTGACCACATCCTATCACATGGGACATAAATTGGACAATTTAAAATCTACACTACCCCAGGATGCTTCCACATAAATTTCATATTTTCTGGCCCAGTTGTTCCCAAGAAGATTTTTAAAGTTTTTTCCTATATATTTCTATGTAAAACTTGATTCCTTGTTGTGGCCCCGCCCTACCCCTAGGGGTCATGATTTGAACAATTAAGAATCTACACTACCCCAGGATGCTTCCACATAAATTAAGTTTCAGCTTTTCTGGCCCAGTGGTTCTTGAGAAGAAGTTTTTTAAAGTTTTTAAGGTCTTCCGTCTTCACGGAAGACCTTATAGTGATTCTATTGTTTCTTATTATTATTATTAAGGTCTTCCGTCTCCAACGGAAGACCTTATTGTTTTCGTTCGGTTTCTTTTTCCCTATTATTATTATTTTTTTTCTTACCGATTTTGTGCACGCGATTTCTCAAAAACGGCTGGACCAATATTCACCAAACTTTCAGATCTGATAGATATTTATCTGAACCTTGTCGGAAATTTTTCATAAGTACGTCGTCACTTCCGGTCGTGATATATTGACGATTTACTGATTTTTAGAGGGTCGGCTTGTCCTGAGATCTCCTCCTAAACGACTTAAGATATCGACTTGAGATTTTCAGTGAAGGTAGAGGAAGGACAATAGATGTGACATTTTGCATACAGAGCTTTCCAGGTAAAAAGGCATCGACGCTCGCCTGGGCTCGAAAAATAGGCTCATACGCATCTCGCAAAAATTGATACGTTTTCTTTCACATCTTTTTACCTGTTAATATTTTATTATGACATATTTAATAAAAAATGTGCAATTTAGTAAGACCTTTCATTTGCTATCAAGTAAATGGGGTTAGCCCTTCAAATTAGGGGCACAGAGGGGCCAAAAATCTCTCGTCTTTAACTTTTTAATGGTCAATATTTTGTGATACATTACTGTAGCAAAGATATTCAACTTAATAATTTGCAACAATATATACTAAAAATTTGATCATATGTTATGTAATAAAGGGTCACAGGGGGCTAAAATGCGAAATCTTTGACGCTTTATATCTCGAAAAGCGTGAGTATTTTGATAAGCAATATTGAACAAAAGATGGTCAAAATAATGTTCCCAACAATATGCATACTTTTAATTCTTTAATTTTTCATTTTTTTTCCGTCGACACTTCCGTTATAAACCGGAAGTAGTTTAAATGTAGCGATTTCTTTTCACATTTTCTAATGAATGTAATTGCTCGTTGTCGAGACTTAAAGAATGCGTACCATCTTAATATTTCGACCGGAAGTACAGCTCGTAAAAACCGAAATTGTCTTAAAATGAGCATTTTCCATCGAAACTTTCAGGGATGATTACTGCATGCTTGATGTAGAGTTGAAAGTTGTTTTGAGCACAAACGGTCGAACAGGAAATGAATAAGAAGAACCGTCAGTTGATTGGAATTGATTGATCTTACATTTTTTGTGTTTCTAAACATGTTTTGAAAAATTCTTGTGCTTTTTTTGACAATGTATTTATCCCAACACAGGTCTTATTTCATCAGATAACGGACGGAAGACCTACTCGTTGCTCGCAACGAGATCGCATCTAGTTATTATTATTATTTTTCCGTACACCGAATTTTGTGCACGCGATTTCTTGAAGACTACTGGGTGGATTTTCATGAAATTTACAGAATTTATGTGTTATTATCTGAAGTTATTTTTTCCGAGAGATTTTTTGAAAATTCGCATCTGGTGCCAAGTTACGGGACATTTTCTGAATTTAAAATGACATTTTGTCTACGGTTAATCTCAAGAACGGTAGAAGATATAAATGTGAAACTTTCAGGGATTATAGATCGTGATATATACTATCCAGGACGCGACCTTTCGTTCGTCGTCGTTACTTCCTGTCGTTAGGAGAAACGAATTTAAAAAACTGTATTTTCTAACTTTTTTGTTTTTCAATATTTTTTATTTTTTTTTTAATACTAATAGAGACCCTTCTATTGATGCTTACTATATAAGTTGTTTGAATATTGGTTAATCTGAACTCTAGATATTAATATTTGAAAATCTGAAGCGGGCCCAAGATGGCGTCTGCCTCTGTTAACTCCGCCATTTCGCGAGTAGGGGTTTATGGAGGCAGCTGAGCGTTTGATTAAACCGTTCAGACATAAGGATACATGAAATATAAAAAACTACTTGGACTTTCACGTAGTAGTACGTTGTAATAACGTGTCAATCTTAAAACTTAATTTCCGTTTCACTGCTTTAGTTTAACTGGGCTAGATACGATATGTAATGTGTACAATGTGTTAAATATACTTTCTTAACGTCGAAATAAAATAAAGGCCATAAGAACGTTTTATTTATTTAATTTCATTGAAGCTATCACACCTATTTAATAGATCAGTCCAAAGAAAAGGCGCAAATATTTACTCGTGGCGTTTGGCGCGTAATTATCAATAGTGGCCCGCCTTTTATAATTCTTAGACAGGTGTACTGTTGCAAATGTATACACAAGTATATTTAGAGCAATGCTCCCAATAGCTTAATGGTTTGCGCGTTAATAGATCACGTAGTAATTACGTTACAATTCTGTGTCAAACTAAAGATTTATTCCAGGGTCTTCTCAAACGTCTTCTGTAACTGGTTTTGGTTGGTTCTCAAAGTAGAAAAAGAAAAGACTAAATGTGCAAATGAGAGATACCTATATTATCATTTGTTTTGCAAGACGGAAAAACAGATCTTAAATCATAGTTATAAGTTATAGTTTTTCAAGAAACAATATCGATGCATGTATATAGTAAGTATAAAACGTATAACCACTGTTTTTCCCATGCACACTTGTGTGATATTAAACGAATAGAAAAGACAGAAATAAGAAAACCATTTTAATAAAATCGTCTAATGGAGTTTATATTAACATTCTTTTCTCAAAGATCTGAATCAAGTTATTGAACATAAATAGTATCTGATTCCTTGACTGTCGTAGAGCGAGGCATGTTTTTCGGCGAAACATTTCAACCTTTTTAGGAAAGTATAACTAATCGGCATAGTACATATCTGAGACGGGAAATAAAAAAAAAAATAAAATTATAGTCATTTCACTGCTTTTGTGTTACTTTTCTTTAGAATGTGTACAATGTGTTAAAAATATTTTCTAAACCTCGAAATGTAGGCTATGAGAACGTTCTTTTTTCTTAATTTCATTGAAGCTATCACACCTATTTAATAGATCAGTCCAATGAAAAGACGCGAAGATTTAACGTGGCGTTTGGCGCGAGATTATGAATAATGGCCTGTCTTTTATAATTCTTAGACAGGTGTACTGTAGCAAAAGTATACACAAGTACATTTAGAGCAGTACTTCCAATAGGGTTATGGTTAGCGCTTTGGGGATAAAAGGGGAAAAAGCGGATTGGATTTTCACGCTGGCGACCTGGATTCAATTTGTGACCAAAATTTTTAATCACTTCTCAGCTCGACTTTACGAGTTTTTTTCCAGAATCGGACGGAAGACCTCTCGTTGCTTGCAACGAGATCGTTTCTAGTTTCCTATATATTTCTATGTAAAACTTGATTCCTTGTTGTGGCCCCGCCCTACCCCTAGGGGTCATGATTTGAACAATTAAGAATCTACACTACCCCAGGATGCTTCCACATAAATTAAGTTTCAGCTTTTCTGGCCCAGTGGTTCTTGAGAAGAAGTTTTTTAAAGTTTTTTCCTATATATTTCTATGTAAAACTTTGATTCCCTATTGTGGCCCCGGCCTATCCTGGGGGTCATGGTTTATACAATTTAGAATCTGCACTATCCCAGGATGTTTCCACATAAGTTTCAGCTTTTCTGGCCCAGTGGTTCTTGAGAAGAAGATTTTTAAAGTTTTAACCTCTATATTTCTATGTAAAACTTTGATTCCCTCTTGTGGCCCTGCTCTTCCCCTGGAGGTTATGATTTGAAGAATTAAGAATCTACACTACCCCAGGATGCTTCCACATAAGTTTCAGCTTTTCTGGCCCTGTGGTTCTTGAGAAGATTTTTTAATGACCCCACCCTATCTTTGACTTTTCTTGATTATCTCCCCTTGTGAAGGGACTTGGCCCTTATTTAACAATTTAAACTTCCCTTTACCCAAGGATGCTTTGTACCAAGTTTGATTAAAATTGGCCTAGTGGTTCTCGAGAAAAAGTTGTAAATGTGAAAAGTTGACAGATGGATGGACAGACGGACGGATGACGGACAAAATATGATCAGAAAAGCTCACTTGAGCCTTCGGGTCAGGTGAGCTAAAAAAAGTAAGAAAGCACTTAAAACAAAAACATGAGATTTGAACAAGTGTACAGAAAGAGATGCTTTTTTTGAAAAATGGATTACATAGAGACCAACAAATCGAATTTAAACAGAAAACCTTACCAGCTCTTCTGGTCTTTGTTCTTGTAGACTGGTATTTTTTCTAGGAAATGCAAGTGTCACAAAACAAAACAAGAGGCCCATGGGCCACATCGCTCACCTGAGAAGCTTTTACCATTCTGTTCTTTGCCAGATTTTACCCTTGTTATACATAATGCATCCCCACCCTACCCCACTGATCATAATTTAGACATTTTGAAATCTACACTACCCCATGATCCTTCCATGGGCACATATGTTTCAGCTTTTTTGGCCCAGTGGTTCCTGAGAAGAAGATTTTCAAAGATTTTTTCTATATATTTCTATGTAAAACTTTGATTCCCTATAATGGCCCCGCCCTTCCCCCGGGGGTCATGATTCCTACAATTTAGAATTTACACTACCCCAGAATGCTTCCACATAAGCTTCGCTTTTTCTGGCCCAGTGGTTCTTGAGAAGAAAATTTTCAAAGATTTTTCCTATATATTTCTATATAAAACTTTGATTCCCCATTGTGGCCCCGCCCTTCCCCCGGGTGTCATTATTTGAACAATTTAGAATCTACATTATACCAGGATGCTTCCACATAAGTTTCAGCTTTTCTGGCCCAGTGGTTCTTGAGAAGAAGATTTTCAAAGATTTTTCCTATATATTTCTATGTAAAACTTTGATTCCCCATTGTGGCCCCGCCCTTCCCCCGGGGGTCATGATTTGAACAATTTCGAATCTACACTATACCAGGATGCTTCCATATAAGTTTCAGCTTTTCTGGCCAATTGGTTCCTGAGAAGAAGATTTTCAAAGATTTTTTCTATATATTTCTATGTAAAACTTTGATTCCCTATAATGGCCCCGCCCTTCCCCCGGGGGGTCATGATTCCTACAATTTAGAATTTACACTACCCCAGAATGCTTCCACATAAGCTTCACTTTTTCTGGCCCAGTGGTTCTTGAAAAGAAGATTTTTAAAGATTTTTCCTATATATTTCTATATAATACATTAATTCCCCATTGTGGCCCCTCCCTTCCCCCGAGGGTCATTATTTGAACAATTTAGAATCTACATTATACCAGGATGCTTCCACATAAGTTTCAGCTTTTCTGGCCCAGTGGTTCTTGAGAAGAATATTTTCAAAGATTTTTCCTATATATTTCTATGTAAAACTTTGATACCCCATTGTGGCCCCGCCCTTCCCCTGGGGGTCATGATTTGAACAATTTCGAATCTACACTATACCAGGATGCTTCCACATAAGTTTCAGCTTTTCTGGCCAATTGGTTCTTGAGAAGAAGATTTTCAAAGATTTTTCCTATATATTTCTATATAAAACTTTGATTCCCCATTGTGGCCCCTCCCTTCCCCCGGGTGTCATTATTTGAACAATTTAGAATCTACATTATACCAGGATGCTTCCACATAAGTTTCAGCTTTTCTGGCCCAGTGGTTCTTGAGAAGAATATTTTCAAAGATTTTTTCTATATATTTCTATATAAAACTTTGATTCCCCATTGTGGCCCCACCCATCCCCCGGGGGTCATGATTTGAACAATTTAGAATCTACATTACATCAGGATGCTTTCACATAAGTTTCAGCTTTTCTGGCCAATTGGTTCTTGAGAAGAAGATTTTCAAAGATTTTTCCTATATATTTCTATATAAAACTTTGATTCCCCATTGTGGCCCCGCCCTTCCCCCGGGGGTCATGATTTGAACAATTTAGAATCTACACTACCCCAGGATGCTTCCACATAAGTTTCAGCTTTTCTGGCTCAGTGGTTCTTGAGAAGAAGATTTTTTAATGACCCCACCCTATTTTTGTCTTTTCTTGATTTTCTCCCCTTGTAAGGAATTGTGGCCCTTCATTTTAACAATTTAAACTCCCCTTTACCCAAGGATGCTTTGTACCAAGTTTGGTCAAAATTGGCCCAGTGGTTCTTGAGAAGAAGTCAAAAATGTGGAAAGTTTACAGACGGACAGACAGACGGACGGACAGACGGACGGACGACGGACAAAATGTGATCAGAAAAGCTCACTTGAGCCTTCGGCTCAGGTGAGCTAAAAATGGACACGTCTTACAAAGCAGTTTGTTCCTCATATCAGCTACACATACTTCATATTTACATAGTACCACTTATTAGTATAGTTTGTTTACTGAATAACTAATGACTCATTGGCAACAAGGGGAAGTAAATAATGATTATGAACTGGAGAGACAATAAAACACAAATACAAACATACTGTCTTAAAGAGATGATAAAAAACAAAGTACAGAAATTGATGAAGCTTAGAGTGGGATCCACCATGGAGGGTAGTAGTCCTTTCTTATTGTGTTGTTCCCCATGACGGTGTTTGGCTGTGGGTAACCATGATAATAGATGACCTCTCCCCCCGTCATGTACCCCGCCCACCAGGAGTACGACCCAGCACTCATCACCATGTGATCACAGGAAGACATGATGGCAAAGTCTAAATACCCATCCGTGTTGTGTGAGTAATGAACATCAGGTGAATCGTCTAAATTATCCATCGACCATATCACATCATTGCTACACAAGATAAACAGTACATTTTTGTATTTTTTCCTGAAATAACTCATAGCTCTATAAAAGTAAGGTATTGGGGCGACTGTGTATCCCTTTCTTTTCTGTCGTACGAAATCCCCTCTTCTCACATGCACTGCAACTAACACTGCATCTTGTTTCTTACGTTCTTTTCTGACATTGTTAATATAATCCATGGCAGCTTTTTTCAGATGATCATGAAAAACAAAATGTTCTTTAAGCAATTCTTTACGAACATTTTCAAAATACCTCCAGGATTGTAGATACCCCATTAAATAAGCTCCCTGCGATGTGTCTAATTGCTCTGTCATATTACACCAACCAGAGGGAAGCTGTTCTCTGTATCGCTTGAAAGTGTCTAAATTTTCTACACTGCCTTTTGGTATTGGTAATTTAAACATATTCCAGATTGTTGTGGACTCCACTAGAATGGGAGTCATATTGTTCCTCCTAGCTGCTCCTATAAGTGTACCATACTCAAACATATGGTTACCATTTCTCCCCCAGAATGTGACGGTCACTTTTTTCCTGGGGTCGGGATTCGGCATTATGGGCGGGGGTTTGGGTTCTAGCTTCATCGTCCCATCGTATCGAGTACTATAAACCAGTACTAAGACAACAGTGATGCCAAGAACTCCCAAGAACCACTGCTGAGCCTGAACTACTCTGTAAATAATAAAAGTTGTACTCAAATCAATTAAAAATCCTAATATAAGAAGTGTACAATTTGCATTTATCTCTATTTAAAATGTAAGCTAATTTTTATTATTAATAACAAGATAATAGTCTTAAATGCTCTTGGTTAAAAAATTGCTCCAATAAGGCTATTTTGACTCTGATTTTAAAATGCAACTAACAAATAAGATTAATGAGATCATAGTCTTTGTTACTCAAACCTTTAAATCTTCCAAATGTATATCATGAAGAGTGCTTAAAAATTAAAAGTGTATGTTAAAGTTTGGATGATATCCAGTAAGACACAACTGCACTCACCCCCAAAAGTTGCATCAACAAAGGCAATGTTGTGTTAAAAAAGCTTTCCTATAGGCTTTTATGTAGCTCAATGAATTTTTTTCTGATGAGTTATTAAACATTTTATCATAGACACTTGGTAAAGCAACTTACATACAACGTCATGTGACATCAAAGTCGAGACATACCAATGTCACATGCAGTATGAAGTGCCTGGCCCCGGGATCATGAAACAGACTTAGACTTGAGTCAAAATTTCAATTATCTATAAAATCTTTAAAACTTGGTAAAGGAAGCTCATAATTTGCATGCAACAGCAGGCTGATGATACAAAACAGAAAGCATTTTCATTTTGGGCTGCTTGACCTCTAAAAAATTTCAGCATCTAAGGCATTTTTTGACTTAAGCTTAAGATGCTTCATGATCCCGGGGCCTGATCTAAATTAAAACTAAATAGGTGTCTGCACTTGCCTTAACGGCCGCACCATCAACATACTAAATACAACTGTGCTTGCCCCAATAGGTCAAACTGTAAAACATAAAGGATAAAAATGTATTGAAGTGCAGTGGTTTGGGCCGTGGATATCAACCTGGTTAGCTCAGTCCGTAGAGCACCTGACTAGAGATGCAGGGGTCCGAGGTTCGATTCCCCATCCAGTTATACATTTTCTCCTACCCTGTTACAGATTTGGTGCTATAGACCGACTAATCTATGCTTTACTCACATTGGTCAATATTTTTATGACCTACAAAGTATTCCTCTCTCATTCAACCATGGTCAGAATGGAGGAGGATGTACATTTTGGTCATGATGAATGTGTATTTGGGGGCGAAGACAATTCAAGGAGGAAGGAATGGAATGGTTTGGGCTTTGGATATTGGCCTGGGTAGCTCAGTCCGTAAAGCACCTGACTAGTGATGCAGGGATCCTGGATTCGATTCCCTGTTTAGACATACATTTGCTCCCTTCTTGTTACAAAAACAAATAAATGCCTAGAGGCTAGATCTCTCTACATCATGTACTTATCAAACCTAGATAGCTTAATCAAGAGATTGCGCCGAATATGTTCCCTGATGGGGAAAAAAGTAAATAAACAATTAGGTGATGACCATCGTCAGATATGATGTGAATAAAAGATAAAAAATGAATTTTTACCTCGTAGGCCCCATGGTATGACTAAAATCAATGGCATAAGTCATGTATTTGCTCTGTCGGATACAACATGTTGCTACAGGAAATTATATTACGCCGACTAAAAACAAAATTTACTGCTGTATATTGTTCCGGAAAAGAAAATTTTCCCACTAATTTATTACTGAAATGTCGTTTTATCAAAAGCTTTAAAATGAAATAAGATAGATGCAATTTCTTCAAAACAGAAAGTAGAGAGTACAGCAGTATGACAATAAACAACGCATTGAAGATATTAGATCGGGATCGAAATCCTCTTTCAAAATAATTTTTCCCGAGTTGACTCGAAACCAAAACTAAAATTATTGTAACAATCTAGTAAGAGAAAAACTGGTGATATACAGTGACAAACAATTTTCTTGATAAGTAATCGTAGATATATTTTTGGCACAACTATATTTGCGCATTTTTCTGTCTTTTGAAGTTTCAGTAGAGGTTTTCCGACACAATGCCTTTGGCACACAATAGAACAGGACCACTGCTGAAGAAGCTCAGGACATTGATGAGTAATAGGAAGTATGTACCAGAAAGCATTCAAGCTTACATCGTGCCTTCAGGAGATTCACACCAGGTGAGATCATACTGGGTTTAGGCAACCCATAAAAATCCATCACATGAACCATGAGTGAGAGGGAGAATAATATTGTTTTAACACTATAAATATATTTAATAAATTTCTTATGGGTTTGAACAATGGGATTCAGATAGCTCAGTTGGTAAAGCACTTGGCTGGGGAGATTCAGGGGGCACAGGTTCGAATCTTGTTATGGTCTGTTACATTTTTTCCTCTCCAGTTACACTTGGTGCGGTGCTAATATCTAAGATTCCTCTGACTCTGTACACATGTCACAATGTAAAAAAGCAGGGGTAAGAGTTGGAGGAATCTCGGATTAGTGAAGTGGCATCCTTGGAAGTGAGAGGTAAAAGACTTGCCAGGGAAGAGCCTGGATTGGTGTCTTCAGGGATCAAACAGCTTAAAGAAGGGAGGAATGTGACAGATGGGTTCTAGTTGCAGAACTGTAACTCTCCGCTTGAGAGAATTCAGACAGATAAAGCAGAAAGCTACAGATCCAAGCATTGAAAAAACCTTTGATTTATGCTTCTGCTTTTTTGTTGCACACTTCATGTATTTTTTCATCATATCAAATCTTATAATATTTTTCTCCTATCCAGTTCTCAATAAAAAATATCATTATCAATTATTTAATTCTGATATAATTTCCTCTCTAAATCTCACTATGGAAGTGTTATGTTTCCATAAAAATACTAGTTAATTTAATGGAACAGAGCTTGATGGAGAGGAAGACAACTGTCATGAACAGAAATTAGGCATTGAGTAAAATTTGGGGGGGGGGGGGGGGCTTAATGGCTTAATGGGAAGAAGCTACTTGGTGAATATTGTGAATATTCAATGAAAGTTGAAGGTATAGATTTAATGTTTTACCATGTTTTACACTTCAAATTAATTTTGTGTTGCAAATGACAACCTTTATTGACCATGATACTTGAACAAAATTACATTAGATAATGGTCAGTAGAAAATTTAATCCAGTCAGCTAGGTATGAATTATAACTGTAACAGAGACAATTTATTGCCTCCCTCTAGAGAATGAGATGTCCTCATCTCTTTCGGGTCCCACGTTGGGCGCCAATGTAGTAGTGTAAGATACATGGCATCCTACTAGCTTGGGCTAGTGGGTTAACCCTTTAGCTCAATCGGTAGAGCACTGGACTGGCAAGCCAGAGGTCCCAGGTTCGATCCCCAGCAGAGGCAATAAAATGTCTCTGTTACATAACTGCCTTCTCATTACAATTTGATGATCTCTCAGTTGAGCAGTTTATTACTTACAGAGTGAGTATATAGCTCCATGTGACTGTAGAAGAGCATTCATCTCAGGATTCACGGGATCTGCAGGTTTGTATTCAAAAATACTTCCTTGAAAGAAGTTACATGTATATAGTAATTTTCTTTATCATCTTTTATCCTGACATGTCATTTAGCAATTATAAAATTTTTTGCTTAATAGACATGATAGACATTTTGATAAAAAAGAATCATGCTTCGTTCTGAATATTTGACAAAAACATTTTAAATCCCTGTTATAGGAACAGCAGTTATTACGACAGAAAAGGCGGCTCTATGGACAGATGGCAGGTACTTCCTACAGGCAGAAAAACAATTGGACGAAAACTGGACTCTGATGAAAGATGGTAAAATATAAATATTTCTGTCACATTTCCTCTGTATATTACTGTAAACCAACTTTATTCAAATGCGAGAAATTTTTGCAAGGTTCACAATAGCTTTGTCATTGCGAGTATTTCTTGGCCTGAACTGTTATATAAAGTCTCTATGTCTATTAGCAACAGGTCAAAAAAGGTGAAAATCTATTGTCACGAACTAGTTTACCCCAGTAAAATGTGAAATAAAGTCATCACAAATAAAAGTTAATTTACAGTAATTGAGATTCTTGCTCTCCTTTACTCTGGTTTTCTATTGATTTGATTTGCCATTTAGGACAGCCCAGCACTCCCACACAGGCAGACTGGCTAGCTAAGGTAGGCTTACAATCAGAATCTATGAAATCAGAAATTGATACTTTTAGTACAGCAATTATATATCTGTAATAACATCTCCTTATTTTTGTGTTTGAGTAATTTGTCCAGAACTTGTCATTGCATAATGTCTATTTATAGGAACTACCTGTGGGTGGAACAGTAGGTGTGGACCCATGTCTGATTTCTGCAGGTAAACAAAAATAAATTTATCATACTTTGGAATATTTTTTATTTGTATGGGCCAATTTTTAGCTCACCTGAGCAGAAGGCTCAAGTGAGCTTTTCTGATCAAAATTTGTCCGTTGTCTGTCATCGTCGTAGTCATCGTAGTTGTCGTTGTTGTCGTCATAAACTTTTCACATTTTTATCTTCTCTCAAGAACCACTTGGCCAATTTCAACCAAACTTGCCAAAAAGTATTCTTAGGTGAAGGGGATTCAAGTTTGTTCAAATGAAGGGCCATGCCCTCTTCCAAGGGGAGATAACCATGTATTAGAGAAAAATTAATCGCATTTTCAAAAAATCTTCTTCTCAAGAAACACTGGGCTAGGAAAGATGAAACTCATGTGAAATCATCCTCAGGTAGTGTAGATTCAAGTTAAGGTGGGGCTATAATGACCGATCAAAGTTTTACATAGGAATATATAGGAAAAATCTTTAAAAATCTTCTTCTGAAGATCCATTGAGACAGAAAAGATGAAACTCATGTGAAATCATCCTCAGGTAGTGTAAATTTAAGTTTGTTCAAATCATGATCCCCGGGGGTAGGGTAAGACTACAATGGCTGATCAAAGTTTTACGTTGGAATATGTTGGGTAATCTTAAAAAATCTCCTTCTCAAGTACTGCAAAGCCATGATTAGTGATATTTATATGGAAACATCCTCAGCTAGTGTAGATTCAAGTTTGTTCAAATCATGACCCATTGGGGTAAGGTGGGGCCACAATAGCCAATCAAAGTTTTACATAGGAATATGTTGGGAAATCTTTAAAATTCTCCTTCTCAAGTACTACAAAGCCATGATTAGTGATATATATATAGAAGCATTCTCAGGTAGTGTAGAATTAAATGTGTTCAAATCATAATCCCCAAGGGTAGGGTAGGGTAGGGTCTCAATGGTACATTAAAGTTTTACAATAGGAAAGTGAAGGGAAAAATCTCAAGAACAAGAAAGCTATGTATAGTGTATTTGTTTAGTGCTATGTTTTATGTATTGAAGATTCAAATTTGTTCAAATCATGACCCTCAGGGGTAGGGAGGGAAACAACGGGGAATCAAATTCAAATTATAACTAAGTAATATAGACAAACAAAATGTAAAAAAAAAAATCTTTAAAAACGTTTTTCTGAAGAACAGCAAAATAAATTGCTGTATTGATATGGAGGCATTCTCAAGTAGTATTAAAATTCAAGCTCCCCCTCCCCCCGTAAACTTTTCATCTCTGATCTGATTTGTGCTTTTTCATAGCCAATGTGCTCAGGTGAGCGATGTTGCCCTTGGGCCTCTTGTTTTTTATTGCTGTCAATTTACAAGATTTGAGGGAACGTTACTTCATGCAATAATTGGCATTATGTAATTTGTATCTCCTTGGAACATATTGATTCCATTGTTAATAACATTATTTTTGTCTAGTAATATTTCACAAATTAAAAAAAAATACCTCGTTGATTAGAATTAGTGATAATTTTTATGCAGAGGCTTGGAAACCCTTGAAGAAAAGTCTCCAGTCTACGGGTCACAGTATCATAGCTGTCCCCTATAACCTGATAGATCTAGTGTGGGAGGATCAGCCCCCACCCCCAATGAATCCACTCCTGACACTCTCAGAAAAATACACAGGTAAGTTGTCTTAAATGCTTCATCCTTGTTAGAGAGATGATAGACGAAGAACTCACAATTGTACCTTAGGTTGATAGCAGATTCCGATTTTTCAAGACTCGATCTACCTTTTAGGATCCATTATGGCATTTTTTACTTGTATGTGTTTTAGGCATGAGCTGGCCAGAGAAAATTCAGAAAGTACGAGAGAAAATGCAGGCCAAAAAATGTGGGGCATTGGTTATCTCAGCTCTGGATGAAATAGCATGCAAGTAAATTTTAATGCTAAATAAAGATAAAGACTATATTGTGTTAGTCTGAACAGTTTTCAAATTTCATTGATATAAATATAACTTTTTACTAAAATTATGCATGGGATAAGCCTTTTTTTTTAATTTCTATCTAAAGAAACTTTATTTCAAAATAAATATTATCTGTATAAATATTGTCTGTCTGTCTATCCACAGATCTGTTTAACCTGCGGGGATCAGACATTGAGTACAACCCGGTCTTCTTTGCCTATGCTGTTGTTACCTTGGAAAACATATTGTATGTTCTTATAAATTTAAAAACCTCTTTTTATAAATATTTTAGAGAGATATTTGGAGCATGCATATGTTTTAAATTTGATATCTTTTTACATTTTATGTTAACATAAATCTAACTGCTCTTAGTAGGATTAATTCCACAGGTTGTAATTTTCACATTGTTCTCTCTTCTGACTTGATTGTGGTTGATGAATTTCAGAATTTGTATGAAATAATTTCTCCCATATTCTTTTGTATGTATATCTTACAGAAAGAATTGCTCCCTGCTTCAAAGAAATGTTTAATTGGTGTCATTTGCTGCAAATGAAATTTCAGACAAAATTCTACATTTCAATGTTTAAGTTGCATCTTGCATGGGTCAAGACTTTCGTTGAATTCATGATTTATTAGCACCATGGATATAGCTAATATTTCCATCACAAGTTCTCTCCCCTTTATATAGAATCTCTTGCAACTTTTCTTACAATTGTTTTGACAGGATTAAAAGATAAAAAATGTTTATCTCTTTGTATCTTGCAATAAATTTAAAAATTATTTCTTTTTATTTGAATTACAGTTTATTTATAGATGAACAAAAGCTTGACACTGAAATCAAGCATCATTTGCAGCTGAATGGAGTGAGCAGTGACCTACAGGTCATGCCCTATGACAAGGTCGGGGAGGTCATCAAAACTCTTGTGGACCAGGTCGAGGGTAAATTCTGGGTAAGGTCAAGGACATGATTTTCATTTATCTTAAATTCTTAGGACTAAGAATTTAGTTATACATTTACTTCATGCACTGAATTCAAATTTTTCCAAAGATTTTTATCCCTGTTTAAGTTTTTGATTGTATTTTTTGATATTCGTAGAATCCATGTTTTTGCATTGTCACCTTTCTTTCTTTTCAGATCAGTCCCAAATCTAGCGTAGCTTTGACACACTGTGTTGATAAAGTAAGAAGGAAAATATTACATCTAATTTTGTCTTCTTTTTCCTCTGAAGTGAAAATGTTTTTGCTAATTTTAAAAATGTTTTGAAATAAAGTGAAAATTTTTTATATGAACGAAGGTTTTCCTGGCAATTTCATTCATTGTATGGAAGATGTTTTCCAAACATATTGAGTTTACAGATACATGGAAATTTTTCATTTCTAGCTTTGGTTACATTATTGCGATCTTCTTGATTACAGAGTCGATTGTTTGCCCAGACATCCCCGGTGGCTGTAATGAAGGCAGTGAAGAATGCAACAGAAATCCAGGGAATGAGAATGGCTCATGTATGTCATACACATGTTTATAGAACTTAATGCATTACTGAGTTAGATTATATAGGGTTTTAGCAATATTTCTGGGTTTTTTACCCTGTCTCTCTGATGTACGTATAAAACAAATATTAAAGACAATTGCTGGTACTTTTTTCTTTGTAATAGAAATTAATACCATAACCACTTGATTTTATAGATAAGTCTTTCCAAACATTTGAATATTAACAGTGATATGTACATTACAGATAAAAGATGCTGTCACACTTTGTGAGCTGTTTTCTTGGTTGGAGAAACAGGTGAGGATCTCTTAAACATTGAATAAATTTTGTAATTGTTAGTAGTGTCAGAGACCTTTGTATTAATAAAGTTTATATTCAAATACAAATAACAATTTAAAATTTAATTGTCTTAGACGTTGAATATTTGTTTACAACTGTTTTCTGTACCTCTTGACACATTGAACAGATTTCTTTTATTGTTTAACATAAATTTTGTAGACTTTGTTGTTTTGTTTTACCAGATTCCCACAGGATCAGTGACTGAGGTGTCTGCTGCAGATAAACTGGAGGAAATTAAACAGTAAGAAGGAGGAAAATAAAACAAACAAACTAATCCAGTATATATTGCATAGCAGTGGGCATACGTGTGGAATTACTATACAAAGTGTACATAAACTAATAGATTTATTATGTGATTATAAAGATTGGACATGAAGTGAAGTCAAGTCTTAATTTAATGGAAAAAGAATTTTCTCTTTCTCTTTTAAGGGAACAGGATGACTTTGTGAGTTTGAGTTTTGCTACCATATCAAGCACTGGTCCTAATGCTGCCATTATACACTATAAGTAAGTCCTGAACTTTGTCTGATACAGTAAAACTTGTTTAGTCTGAACATGGATATAGCAAATTCACAGATACAGCAAAGTTTTTCAGGGTTCCCAGTAAAATTCTTAACAATTCTTTGTAAAATTTTACGATTATAACGAACTCTGATATAACAAATTTACAGATATAGTGAACTTATTTTGAGTCCCACAAAGGTTAGATATAATTAAGTTTACATTTTTTATGATGAATTTTCAAAGATCTCAAAATTTGATAAATTGAACTGAATTTATTTTCATTATCTATTTATAAAGTTCCATTCATAATAAAAACTCTAATTATCCAAGGTATGTTTTGTACTAATTGCTTCTTTAAAATATTTGGTGGTAATACTTGATGGAAAACGTGAATATTGCAAATTCGCTATACATACTTATATGAACTCGTTTTATGGATATAACGAATTATGGATATAGCAAATTAAATTCACGTGAAATTACTGTACAGTAAGGTAGTTTTATCTCTGACTGATGTTTTAGTGAATACCTTGTTTTGTTTTTCAGACCTACAAAATCAGACACAGTCCTCAAATATCTTCCTGTGTGATACATGTATATAGCTTATTGTAGGATAGTCATTTCTAGGTGACTCAGGGGCACAGTACAAGTTAGTTCTCAGAGTATTGTAGGATAGTCATTTCTAGGTGACTCAGGGGCACAGTACAAGTTAATTATTGTAGGACAGAGTCAAAATCCACAGTACAAGTTAGTACTCAGTGTATTGTAGGACAGAGTCATTTGTAAGTGACTCAGGGGCACAGTACAAGTTAGTTCTCAGAGTATTGTAGGATAGAGTCATTTGTGAGTTTGTACTCATATTATTGTAGGATTTTTCTAAGTGACTACAGTACAAGTTAGTACTCAGCTTATTGTAGGATAGAGTCATTTGTAAGTGACTCAGGGGCACAGTACAAGTTAGTACTCAGCTTATTGTAGGATAGAGTCATTTGTAAGTGACTCAGGGGCACAGTACAAGTTAGTACTCATATTATTGTAGGACAGAGTCATTTGTAAGTGACTCAGGGGCACAGTACAAGTTAGTACTCAGCTTATTGTAGGATAGAGTCATTTGTAAGTGACTCAGGGACACAGTACAAGTTAGTACTCATATTATTGTAGGACAGAGTCATTTGTAAGTGACTCAGGGGCACAGTACAAGTTAGTACTCATATTATTGTAGGATAGAGTCATTTGTAAGTGACTCAGGGGCACAATACAAGTTAGTACTCAGCTTATTGTAGGACAGAGTCATTTGTAAGTGACTCAGGGGCACAGTACAAGTTAGTACTCAGCTTATTGTAGGATAGAGTCATTTGTAAGTGACTCAGGGGCACACAGTACAAGTTAGTAAGTGACTCAGGGGCACAGTACAAGTTAGTACTCAGCTTATTGTAGGATAGAGTCATTTCTAAGTGACTCAGGGGCACAGTACAAGTTAGTTCTCAGAGTATTGTAGGATAGAGTCATTTGTAAATGACTCAGGGGCACAGTACAAGTTAGTACTCAGCTTATTGTAGGATAGAGTCATTTGTAAGTGACTCAGGGGCACAGTACAAGTTAGTACTCAGCTTATTGTAGGACAGAGTCATATCTAAGTGACTCATGGGCACAGTACAAGTTAGTACTCAGCTTATTGTAGGATATCTAAGTGACTCATGGGCACAGTCATTTCTCAGCTTATTGTAGTGAGCTTATTGTAGGACAGAGTCATTTCTAAGTGACATAGGGGCACAGTACAAGTTAGTACTCATATTATTGTAGGATAGAGTCATTTCTAAGTGACTCGGGGGCACAGTACAAGTTAGTACTCAGCTTATTGTAGGATAGAGTCATTTGTAAGTGACTCAGGGGCACAGTACAAGTTAGTACTCATATTATTGTAGGACAGAGTCATTTGTAAGTGACTTACAAGTTAGTACTCAATTGTAGGAAATCATTTGCTCAGGGACACAGTACAAGTTATAAATTATTTTCATTTGTAAGTGACTTACAAGTGTACTCAGTTATTGTAGGATAGAGTCATTTGTAAGTGACTCAGGGACACAGTACAAGTTAGTACTCAGCTTATTGTAGGACAGAGTCATTTGTAAGTGACTCAGGGGCACAGTACAAGTTAGTTCTCAGAGTATTGTAGGATAGAGTCATTTCTAAGTGACTCGGGGGCACAGTACAAGTTAGTACTCATATTATTGTAGGATAGAGTCATTTCTAAGTGACTCGGGGGCACAGTACAAGTTAGTACTCAGCTTATTGTAGGATAGAGTCATTTGTAAGTGACTCAGGGGCACAGTACAAGTTAGTACTCAGCTTATTGTAGGATAGAGTCATTTGTAAGTGACTCAGGGGCACAGTACAAGTTAGTCAGCTTTAGAGTATTTGTAAGTGACTCAAAGGATTTAGATCATTTGTAAGTGACTCAGGGGCACAGTACAAGTTAGTACTCAGCTTATTGTAGGACAGAGTCATATCTACTCATGGGCACAGTGTACTTACAGGGGATAGAGTCATTTTAAGTGACTCAGGGACACAGTACAAGTTAGTACTCATTATTGTAGGACAGAGTCATTTCTAAGTGACTATCTCAGAGTATAGAGTTTTGGGGAACAGTACAAGTTAGTACTCAGCTTAAGGACAGGATAGAGTCATTTCTAAGTGACTCAGGGGCACAGTACAAGTTAGTTCTCAGAGTATTGTAGGATAGAGTCATTTGTAAGTGACTCAGGGGCACAGTACAAGTTAGTACTCAGCTTATTGTAGGATAGAGTCATTTGTAAGTGACTCAGGGGCACAGTACAAGTTAGTACTCAGCTTATTGTAGGATAGAGTCATTTGTAAGTGACTCAGGGACACAGTACAAGTTAGTACTTACCTTATTGTAGGACAGAGTCATTTTTAAGTGACTCAGGGACACAGTACAAGTTAGTACTCAGAGTATTGTAGGATAGAGTCATTTCTAAGTGACTCAGGGGCACAGTACAAGTTAGTACTCAGCTTATTGTAGGATAGAGTCATTTGTAAGTGACTCAGGGGCACAGTACAAGTTAGTACTCAGAGTATTGTAGGACAGAGTCATTTGTAAGTGACTCAGGGGCACAGTACAAGTTAGTACTCATATTATTGTAGGACAGAGTCATTTCTAGGTGACTCAGGGGCACAGTACAAGTTAGTACATGTACTCATATTATTGTACGATAGAGTCATTTCTAAGTGACTCAGGGACACAGTACAAAAAAGTACTCAGAGTATTGTAGGATAGAGTCATTTGTAAGTGACTCAGGGGCACAGTTTAGTACTCATTGTAGGATAGAGTCATTTGTAAGTGACTCAGGGGCACAGTACAAGTTAGTACTCAGAGTATTGTAGGACAGAGTCATTTGTAAGTGACTCAGGGGCACAGTACAAGTTAGTACTCATATTATTGTAGGACAGAGTCATTTCTAAGTGACATAGGGGCACAGTACAAATGTTTCATTTCTAAGTGACTCATACAAGTTAGTACTCAGCTTCATTTGTAAGTGACTCAGGGACACAGTACAAGTGCTTATTGTAGGACAACAAGGTTAGTACTCAGCTTATTGTAGGATAGAGTATTCTCAAAGTTTTTTCCATTCATCTTCATAAGCTCATCCATCCTTGTCTTCTTTATGTCCTTCCTAGACATTGGATTTATAGTTCACTTAGTAAAGGAAATGCAGTAGATATAAATATTTAGTCTTGTGCAGTTAAGATGTATAAAAAGTTTCACTGATAATTTTCATTTAATACGACAGATGTCACAAGGACAATTCATTTTGGAGTTCCGTCCTCATGAAAAGGTATTTATATCTACTTTTAATAGATGTGTTCTTTTAACTTACTGTATACAGGGTTATTTAATTTTCGATATTTGGAAACAAGTTATTTTTCGCCCGGAAAGAATTTTTGTTTCAGATACTGTTTACTTTGGCCCAGTGTTCATCACATGTCTGTCAACTTGTAGAGATAATAAGAGTTAAATTTTACAAATGTTTCATTATGTTGTTTTTTCTAAATGTTATTTTAAAAGGACACATTGGTTTATCTTTTTCTTTCCCAATGTAGAGTTTTTAATAAACGGATATTTAAATCTACATACTGTTCAGTTTTTTGCTTTAATGCTTAGATAGAATAGAGCTTATTTTCTAGTAAGGTGTTCATCACATGTCTGTCAATGAACGGTTTTTCAAAATGTTTATCCAATTGCAATATGAACACGTTTACACTATGCTAAGATATATATATACTGTATGTGTACTAAAAATATTATTATTTGTATTTTCATCTTTTTAATGCTTTTCAAATTAAATGATGATAACAGGTCACATGTTAGATACCTTGGCCAGAACAGCATTATGGGAAGTGGGTCTGGATTATGCTCATGGAACGGGTCACGGAGTGGGGGCCTTCCTGAATGTTCATGAAGGTAAAGATTTGCACTCTTACTTTTTGTCATAAAAAATAAAAGAAACCAGAAATTGGAAGATATATTACTCTGCTAAATCTTTTAAACATTTAATTCCGATATTACATACACCCGTAAATTTGTTGTGGTGAAAATAATTTTGTCAATGATCATTTAAAAGTACCTTGTATGTTTCTGTTGCTTGTATGTTATGATGTGTTTTGTTTTTTCGATTGTGGAATGTTGTTTTTTTTCTTTGTCTTTTCTGGTATGTTTATTCCTTTGTCTTTTCTGGTATTTATCTGTGTTTTGTTTATTCCTTTGTCTTTTCTGGTATTTATCTGTGTTTTGTTTATTCCTTTGTCTTTTATGGTATTTATCTGTGGAATGTTGTATGTTTCTGTTGCTTGTATGTTATGATGCCATTGTGTTTTGTTTATTCCTTTGTCTTTTATGGTATTTATCTGTGGAATCTTCCTGTTTAAGGCCCCTGTGGAATTAGTCCCCGAGTCTCGGCGGCAGAGATTCCCCTCGAGGCTGGAATGATCCTGTCTGACGGTAAGCTGTGTGTCAGATAACTCCATACTGAATCAATATTAATCTATCTAATCCATTCTTTCATTCTTATCACAGTAGTCTTTTGATTAGGTCAATTTAATTTTTTGTATATATACATGTAGATGCTTTTTTAATAATATTATGTAGCTAGAGTGTATTTACTATATAGGATAAAGTTTATATGTCAAAATTTTTAAAAGGTGATTTGAAACATAATTTTATTATTTAGAGCCCGGTTATTATGAGGATGGAAAGTTTGGTGTTCGAATAGAAAACCTGGTTCTGGTTGTAAAAGCTGAGACAAAGGTATTATCATGGCATTGTTTATTTACAGGTATTTAAATTGTTCATAATATCTTGAAGAAAATAAACATACACCATTATGCATTTTCCTTTTCAGCATAATTTCAGAAACAAGGGATTCTTAACCTTTGAACCCTTGACCCTTGTACCCATGCAGCTGAAGATGATAGAGCCCTCCTTATTAACAGAGAAAGAGGTGGGATTTATTACACAATATCTCAGTAAAACTGATACTTGTATCTGTACATTAACAAAAAACTAGATCATAGCTATCAAAGACATGTACATACAACTGCACTTATAACTTACTGATCAATCAGTATATCCTCATTTTAAAATTTTATGGCTCTTCAATTTACATTGACAAATCATGCTTGAAGTTGAACCATATCTTATATGGACTTAAATCAAGCAGTCTTTTCAATTCATATATCTTAGGCAAATGTAGCATGGTTCTAAAGTAATGTATCATTAACTGTTTTTTCGACAAGGATATCAAATTATTATACTCACTTTGGGTTATACTAATGTTTGCATGTATAGTATCTATCTTGTTGGTAGGGTTGAGATTTTAAAATTAAAAGTGGCCCCACTTCCATCAACACTGGTTACTTAACTAGGTATGTTTTGACTTTTCCTTGACAGATAAGCTGGTTAAATGACTACCATACAATGTGTAGGGATATAGTGGGACCTGAACTTAAGAGGCAAGGAAAGAAGGAGGCATATGATTGGATGATGAGGGAGACCCAAAGCATTGGATAATACAGATGTATGGATTGGTTAGATTTGTGATCTGTCTTTTTATGCATTGTGAAAAGATTTTCTACATTTGACTAGGAACTAGGTTAATTTATATCCAACATTGTGATCTTGATTCATGCTCATTTTCAATTCATTTTGTAAAAATTTCAAACAAGAAAGATTAAATCAGCAATATTTTACAAATTTTATGTGATTGTTTTGGACAAGTCCTTAATTGTCATAGAGTTCTGACAGATTTGAATTTAGAGAATGATGGTCTTAGTTGTAAGAGAGGTCCCCTCATACTGGAAAATGTCAGCAACTGCCTCTGTTACTGGGGTCCACCTCAATATCAAGCTGCTCTTTGGAAACAATAGCTTTATTTTATTCTAAGTTAGTTTTTTTCTAGGTTTTAAGCTATAAATAATACAGAAAGATGTGTTTGTAAAACACTGATGCCCCGTATGGCAACATAGCAAAGATTAAATTTTTCTTAAATGCAAATTTAATATATTGGTACCAAAAGTAGGGTATTCTCACTGGAAATACAATTGTGAAATATGGAAATAGGCCAAGGTTAAAGTTTTTTCATAAGTGAGGAAATCTCCAAGGTCTAGGTCAAAAGATCAAGGTAATTGGTATCCAATGAAAGGTCTTTATTGCAACAAAAAATACATATGTGAATATGGAAGTCCTAGCACTAACCCTTCAAAAGTTATGGCCAAGGTTAAACAATTTAAAAAGTAAGTCAAACTCCAAGGTCAAAGTGTCAAAGGTCTTGCTATCAAATGAAAGGTCTTGTCACAAGGATTAAATATGTAAAGTATGAAAGCACTAGCCCTAACCCTTGAAAAGTTATTGTCAAGGTTTGCTTTTTAAAAGTAGTTCAAACTCCAAGGTAAAGGTCAGAGAGTTAAAGTTCTTGGTATCCAATTAAGGGTCTTCTCACAAGGATTACACATCTTAAGTATGAGATCACTAGCCCTTAGCATTCAAAAGTTATGGCCAAGGTTCAAGTTTTTTCATAGGTATGGAAATCTCCAAGGTCAAGATTGTTGGTATCCAGTGAAAGGTCTTTCCACAAAAAATACATATTTTAAGTATAAATGTTGTGGTATCTATTGTTCAAAAGATATGGCCAAAGTAAAAGTTTGAAAAGTTTTGTGTAAAAGTGGGTCAAACTCCAAGGTCAAGGTCAAATTTGGTGGTACCCAAAGGAAGGTCTTGTCACAAGGAATACACATGTAAAATGTGAAAGTCATAGCTCCACTAAATCAAAAGTTATGGGCAAGGTTAATTTAAGGAATCACTGTCTAGTTAGTATAGTATGCCAGGGCATCAACGATAGTAAGAAACATCAGATAGCCTGTTATGCATAAATTATCCCATGTTTCCCACTATCGTTGATGTCCCTGGCATACTACCCTAACTAGACAGTGATTCCTTATATTTCCATTTCATTGTGAAATAAAATTGTAGATTTAGACTTTACAAATGTAGACATAGATTTAAATTACATGAGGACTCCAAGGCCAATTTCAATAGTCCTCGCCTACTCATGTCAAAGGCAAAGACAGCAGCAGACATTTACATGGATATTTGGCCTCTTTAGCAACAGAGACAGATGCGCACAAGATTTGCATGCATATTAGGCCTCCTTAGCTTCTGACCTATCGACCTGCCTAATTTACATTCTGGTAGAATTATCAAGAATCAACTCCGCTAACTTTGAAAGAGTTATCACAGAGGAAAAAAATTAGAAATGGAAATATAGTTTTTGCGGACAAACAGACAGAGAGACAGACAGACAGCTATACAGACAAACACAACAAAAACTATATACCCCCAAAACTTCGTTTATGGGGGCATAAAAATGGACAATTGTTAAGTGAAACTACTGGTACATGTATAACCATCTATTTTAAAGGTCTAATCCTACAAGAAGTCAAATATAGGTCCCTGATATGCTTCCTAAGTTCTTGACTTAGGCCAAATGAGGCACACGTTGTTTACGGTGTAATCTTAAATACAACACAGAATACAAAATTAAGCAATATCTCTCAACAAGTTTAATATATACATCTCTCAAAAAGTGACACAACAACAGTTAATACTACTTGCGTAACAGTGAATAGTTCACAGCTCTTTACAATGTCCTAAGTTTTAAATTGAGCTGAGCCAATAATTCAGAGGTTAAGAAATGGGACTCAAACGGGGGGGGGTGGGGGTGATGTCCATGATGAAGAAAATGAAACAAAATAAATTATTGAAATGGTTTGTGATGGCTGAGTTATATCACCAATAAGCAGCATCCACGCATGCCCGATTTTTGTCCTGTAGCATATAAGTCTTTAATTCTGGTATATCCTATGCAATGTTAATCCGCCACTCTCTGAAGCAGAAGCACCAAACGATCACTCTTGTCACCACGTGGTATGACGTCATCAGTCCATAATGGAGCGAGAATTGGCTGGAAGGCCCTGCTGCTGTCGCCAACACGCCAGGCGGTGCTGATACCACAGCTAAAAAATAAAAGCTTTAACATATAGGTCAGACTCCAAACGGCTAAAAGGGAACAAATAAAGGCTTTAAAATATATGTATTGATGTTTTGTTTCAGTTTTACTAGGGTAAAAGACACAAAATATATTTTGCATTCTTTTATTTTAAAAAAAGACAGACGGCATTTCTCAATATAATAAATAAATTTCCCAACAAATTTGTGTTTGTAATATTGCTAGTTTAACAAGTTTCCTCACCAAAAATTGCGATAATTTACCTGACACTTATGCAAGATTCCAGAGGATAGGATTTCTTTTATGACACTATACTGATAATCGCTTGAATTGTTGACATCACACCTTATTTTTATACATTTTGAAAACAGTTTTAGAATTTAATCAAAAGATGATAGATACAATAAACATTTTTGATACTTTAGGAAGACATTCGATGAACTTCTCGTCAGATCCTCTTTTTTTTTGAGGGTGGGGGGGTTAATTCATATCTTTTCCCCGAGGAGGTCTGTGTTAATATATCAAAAGATGGAAGAAGGCTAATGTAACGTTGTGACACATCAATGAAACTATCTGTTACATGATAACTCTGTCACTTTTATCGACAAGCAGATTGTTTGGTCAGTAAACATTATTATGATCAGATATCGGTGTTCATTGAAGGTAACGTTTAGTGGCCCATCATTCCGTGTCATTTTACGCTGAATCAACGAATCTGTGTAATTTACGGGTGATTTGTGTGAATTTGAACAGGAAAGGGGCGGGAAATGTGTCATGTTTTTAAAATAATATTCAGATTACAAAATACTGCCTCCCAATAATATTTGTTACGAGATTGAGAGAGAGAGGTTCAACCTTCAAAAATTTTGTTTCTTTGATTTGTACCCCCCCCCCCCCCTTTTTAAGATCTTGTACACATTATTGTTAGATTTCTTGAATTGAAAAGCTATTCATTGCATCATAAGTGCCTAATTTACCAGAAAGATGACTAACAATTTCGTGACTAACACGTGCACATTTTCCTGAAAAGAAAACTTAATTCCTTTTCTGAAGAAAAACACAATTTTGGGTTTTTTTTCCGTGTTCTGGAGAATATTTCTTCCCCGTGTATTGTGTGGCCTTTCATACAAAATCACTATTAATCAAAGGAATTATTATTTAACAGGGAAGCGGCAAACAACAGCATCACATTTCTTAAGATCACAATAAAAAGGGAAAAAAATTATTACAAGTATATGCATTTATTAAATAAATTCTTCCTTTGGATTGTGACAAAATTATATATCGGGCCATTAAAATATATTCAAATTTGTCTATAAATTTCTTGGGAACAATTTAAAAACGAATTGTCCACATTTCTAAATATACTGACAATTGTTCAACTTGTGATAAATTTAATTTGTAAGTGGGCGTATTTTCCAATTTAATAGCAAATCCTTGTATCGCAAGACTGAAGCAGAATAGGAACAGTGTGTGAAAACGAGCTTTATATAGATTTAAACAATAAACTTATCGGAACTAGCTCTAGTCTTTGATCTACGTTGGTTGATAAAAGCACTGTTTTTCAATGCAGCCATTTACTTACTTTGTGTTATAAAGAAGTTCTCAGATTAGATTTTTTAGCAGTATGGTGTAAATAAATTATATATCAACAAGTGGTATGGGGGTCAGCGGTCGTGGTTTGGTAGCTAGCCAGTTGTCCCTGTACTTGCGGAAGTGTCAGTATATATCAAATATACTGTACTTGTACACATACAGAATGTTGTAGTAGAGAAGTAATGTCACGGTCAGTATATATCAAATATACTGATGGCAAAGTCAATACCTATATTGAGACACAGGTTATATATAGATTGCCGAACTGTATAAATAGAACATATCACGCCCAAGGTACACAAAGATAGCGTATCTAGAACTTACGTATTAATCTTTTTATTTATTTTTTATTTTTGTCAATTTTCAAGTTCTTATAAGTGCTGGGTTCAATTTCTGTACCTTGGCAATATTTGTGTAAGCACATGAGAGATTTATTGCGTAATGATATTGGCAGCACATGGTTCACAACGTACACAAGTATATATAATTGATAGGCATATTTGTCATCTATTGATGTAAAGTCAATATATACAGCTACTTAGAGGACATGGGGACTTAAGTGGACAACCAAACACGTGTATATAGAACAATTACGTGTTCGTATCGTAGATTAATTAAACAAGGACAACAACGCTAATACTTAGTGTTGACTTCTGATCTTCTATCCAGAAGTCAGAAGCAACAAAGCCAAAAATTACCGTGATGTCTAATGACAGATTATGTGACCTGAACAGGCACTTGATATTGTAATAATTTAACCCATAGTATTATTATCATTCATTACAGAATCAAGGGTCTGTGGTGACATGTGTTGCACATTTAGACTTCGAATGATATAACGAATCAATACTTTAACAAGGATGATAATGTGAGTCATAAAGAAATTAACTTGTCATTTGTCAAATTAAGGTTACCTTGACGTTTTCTTCGGAAAGCCCCGCTTCTGCCGCTATGAGTGTAAGGTCTAGGTCTGTGGGGTTCCGATTGCTGCGGAAGTTGGCCTGAAGAACTTTCTCCTGGTCCTCCTTAATTATCGGCAGCCGGGTGGAGGGGGTCAGTTGCGCTTGAATATTGCAGTTGTTCACCGACATATTTCTTAGATCCACCACATTCAAAGAAATAAATTCACAGATCTTTCCAATAGGTCCTTACCCGCTAAATTATTAATCCTATTAATTATTTGCTTTGTCACATTTATATGGAACTGAATACACTGCCTTTCAATGAAATCCGTCACATCCCATGAAATTAACACGATTTGATCTTTAATTAATCTGTTAATTTCCGTAATTTCTACATGTCAATAACAATAGTACATAAGTTAATAGATAAATCTTTCGTCAGATGCCTGCTGATGTCGCTTCGCTAATGTACTCTTGTTTAGCGTATTTCCTCGTTAACTGCTGGGTAATCCGCTTTAGGAATGTGTCCCCGCTATTTCTGTACTAGAGCGGATAAGCTCGCGGCGAGATTCCCTTTTCTGAGGCTATTTCAAGTTCCCCTGGCTAAATTCCTTGCTCTTTGTTAATCCAAGGCAGTTTTTGTCACCAGTGTTTATAAAACTTTTCCTTAAGTAAATATTTCCTTCGCAATCAATTGAACGGCTTGAATACACGGCCTCCGCGCTTCTGTCGTATCGACCCTCCAATGATGGCGTTACTCGTCGATCTATCGATCCGACGGTCGGGTACGTGCAAGGAAACCAGACAACATGTCGAAATATAAAGCAATTAACCCGATCTTTTAGCGCAGTTAATAGGGGTGTTCTTTTATTGTTCTATGTATCACATTGCGGATCTAATCTAAACGGCTAAAGATATACATCATTATTTCTCAATGCATCAAAGCAGCTATGATTTTTTTTAATTAAGCGATTGCTGTGTATGTGACAATTTGGGAATAATTTATTTCCGCGAAAGATTTCACGTTCTGTCAAAAGACTTCGCGGCGGCGGACACACTGGGGAGGCCTCTTCTCATGTTAATGTGAACGTTAGGTTTGTGACTTTGATGTGACAGACGATCAAATTTAAATAATACTTCCTGAACCCGAATCGCACTTTTTAAACATCTGAGAAGTTAGATAAAGAGTGCGCAGAGAGAAGCGAACGCATCATTGATGTATTTTAGCTATTTAACTCGCTGACGGTCAAGGTTAAAGTACAAGTATACTCCCGTTATTTCGATAAAAAATTTAATCTATTGATCTTACTTACAATATACCCTGATTTAGATGTACAGATTACATATTTCTGCTTGACTTATTTTGTTTTATGTTTATCCGTACAAGTTATACAGCGTTTAAACAATAATGACATTTGCGCGGGAAAACTTGAAGCTTCTCGATATGACTACACTAAATTAACTATCACCGGCTCTTCATTTTTAACTTATTACACAATCGTGATTTCATTATAAATACTTCTTTTTTCTTAGTCAAGTTTAAAGTTCTACAAATTATAGCTGCCTTCAAATGTTACGAGAATGCGATATATCAAGATTTTTCGATCTTAGGGAAAAGGGATAAATGCAATAGCAAGCACCTACATGTACCAATTAAGAAGAAATAAGACATGCAAGTTACCGGCAATGCATTTGCTCTTTATAAATTAGATTCTGGGAATGCATGTTAAGGAGATTCCATTAAATATCTGAATTTTACCGGATTACAATGCAGACATTTGTTGTTATTTCCTTTTTTCACGCAAAAAGAGCGCTTGCGACATATGAAAATTCAGATCTAAGGCTGGGCAGGTGTGTGCATTTTCTTTTTTTGAATATGATTCTAATATGAAAGTTAATTTAAATAGTCAAAATACGCTGGCTCTTTGTCCATCCACTCAATCACTGAAAACTGAAAAAGAGACTTAGCCACTGATCCCAGTATCACTCAACCTTGACGACATCAAAAGGACCAAACCACCAATACCATTAGCATAAATCCAACCAACTCCAAAAAAACTAAACTAAAATATTTACATACACTTAACCATTAACAAACTCAAACAGATTGATCCAACATTCCCAGTCGCAAAAGCGTTAATCCATCACCTGCCTTCCTAACAGGGTACTGCACTCAAAAGGACCAATCTACCCATTACCTTCCTCTATAGGATAAATCTAACTTCTGCCTTTACAAGAAGGATCAATCTACCAACTTCCTACCTCAAAGAATTTATGTTACAATTGTCTTCAAAAGAATGATCAATCCATCCAATGGCTTCCTTAAGATAATAAATCTTCCTTTTACCTTCCTTAGAAGGATCAATCCAATGACCACCTTCCTTACAAGGATGAATCCACCCATTGCCTTAGAATTCCTCAAAAGGATCAATCAACCCACCAACTTCCTGAGAAGGATCAATCTACCCACTGTCTTCTTAAAAAGAGTCAATTGTCCCACTGTCCTCCTCAAAATAAAGCAACCTGACTCCCTTAAAGTCAATCCACAATACCTTTCCTTAAATGGAACATACCTTCCTTAGAAGGATCGATCCACCCATTACCTCCCTGAAAAGGATCAATTTACCCACTGAATTCCTTAGGAGGATCAACCCACCCACTTCCTTCATCAAAAAGCTCAATCAATTTACTAGTACTGCCTTCTTTAGAAGGATCACTCCACCCACTTTTTAAATCATTTTTTTTCTTTCTTTCTTAGTATCATTCCACCTATTACTTTCCTTTAATGGGTCATTCCACCCACTACCTTAGAAGGATCATCTTCCCAAGGCCTTCCTCAGAAGAATCAATCCACTCACTGCAATCCTTAGAATCCATCCACCAAATTCTTTTCTTAAAGGGATCAACCCACCCACTGCTGCCTTTTGAAGGATCAATTCACCCATTTTCTTCCTAAAAGGAAAAATCCATTATTGGCCTTAGTTAGGAGGATCAATTCACCAATTGCCTTTCTTAGAAGGATCAATCCACTCACTCCCTTTCAAAAGGATAACCAACCCACTGACTTCATAAGAAAGATAAATTTTTCTACACTTTCTGCAAAAGAATCAATAAACTCAGTCAATCCACCATATCTTTTCCTTAAATGGAAACTTCCTTCCTTAGAAGGATCTATCCACCTACTTCCTTCTTGAAAAGAACCAATCCATAATCTGCCTACCTTGCAAGGATCAATCCACCTTTTTTCTTCAAAATAATCAATTTACCGACTACCTTTCTCAAAAGGACCAACCTACTTAATGCCTTACTTAGAATGATCAATTTACCTACTCTTTTCCTCAAAGGAATGATCCACCATTTGCCTTACTTAGAAGGACTAATTCACCCACTGCTTTCCTAAGTAAGATTAATATACCCACTGTCTATCACAAGGATTAACCAACCCACTGACTTCCTTAGAAAAATGAATTTACCCACTACCATTCTCAAAGGAATCAATCCACCCAAAACCTTCCCTAATATCAATCCTATATATCTTTTTCTTAAATGGAAACTGCCTTCCTTAGAGGAATCTTTCCATTGACTTTCTTCCTCAAAAGGACTAATCCACCCACTGCCTTCTTGAGAAGGATCAATTGCCCACTGCATTCCTAAGAAGGACCAATTACCCACTGCATTCCTTAGAAGGACCAATCCATCCACTGCCTTCCTTAGAAGGACCAATCCACCCACTGCCTTCCTTAGAAGGACCAATCCACCCACTGTCTTCCTTAGAAGGACCAATCCTCCCACTGCCTTCCTTAGAAGGACCAATCCACCCACTGCCTTCCTTAGAAGGACCAATCAATCCATTGCCTTCCTTAGAAGGACCAATCCACCCACTGCCTTTCTTAGAAGGACCAGTCCATCCACTGCCTTCCTTAGAAAGACCTATCCACCCACTGCCATCCTTAGAAGGACCAATCGCCCACTGCCTTCCTTAGAAGGATCAATCCACCCACTGCCTTCCTTAGAAGGACCAATCCATCCACTGCCTTCCTTAGAAGGACCAATCCACCCACTGCCTTCCTTAGAAGGACCAATCCACCCACTGCCTTCCTTAGAAGGACCAATCCACCCACTGCCTTCCTTAGAAGGACCAATTCACCCACCGCTATCCTTAGAAAGACCAATTCACCCACTGCCTTCCTTAGAAGGACCAATCCACCCACCACTATCCTTACAAGGACCAATCCACCCACTGCCTTCCTTAGAAGGACCAATCCACCCACTGCCTTCCTTAGAAGGACCAATCCACCCACTGCTTTCCTTAGAAGGACAATTCACCCCCCACTATCCTTAGAATGACCAATTCACCTACTGCCTTCCTTAGAAGGACCAATCCACCCACTGCCTTCTTTACAAGGACCAATCCATCCACTGCCTTCCTTAGAAAGATCAATCCATCCACTGCCTTCCATAGAAGGACCAATCTACCCACTGCCTTCCTTAGAAGGACCAATCCATCCACTGCCTTCCTTAGAAGGATCAATCGCCCACTGCCTTCCTTAGAAGGATCAATCACCCACTACCTTCCTTAGAAGGACCAATCCGCCCATTGCCTTCCTTAGAAGGACCAATTACCCACTGCATTCCTTAGAAGAAGAAACAGCCTTCAAACTACCTTCCTCAATCCTCACTTTGCCTTCCTTAGAAGCATTAATCCTCTCTCTGTTTTCCTTAGTATCAATCCATTATCCAAAAAAGATAAATCAGTATCCTTGATCTGCCACATCAATTAATCCACATACTGTGTGACCTGCAAAAGGGTCAATTCACACACTACCAATGAAAAAAATGTATCAGTTTGTCAATCTATGTCAAACTACATGTAGTGGTAATTCACAATACAATGGTACCATCCTATTGAAGCATTGTGTTGAACTGGGGGCTCCGACGCTCAGACACACAATTTTGTCTGAAAATTTTGGTTTGAAAGGGCCTGTTCCCGTATGTGTAGGAACTTGAATCCCTTTTTGCCAAGTTTGCTTTGAATTGGTTCAGGGGCTCTAGGGAAGAAGGCAACGATGGAAATCCAGAGACAGGTTGCCAATGGCACACAAGCTGTAATCTTTCATACACAAAGTTTTGACTTTTTGATATATGATATTATAAATATTTTTAAATTAAAAAAAAAAAAAAAAAAAATTGGCATAACTGACAAAATAAAATGCTTGCAAAAGCAATTTCAGTATTTCGTTTCTTTTCCAGTGAAATGATTCTTTTGCTTTAGAACAAGAGTATTGGTGTATAGAGTTTATGTACAGAAAACAACAAAGTTATCTTCAGTCAGTGTATTTTATTTTCAACAAATTGCAATAAGTAATTATAAAACAAAAATAACTTAAATTTACTATCAACATTTGACCTGTGTATCAGATAATATACCATGCAAGTCCAGCAGAAAAGTAATTTAGAACATAAAAGAAAATTACAAAGGTATTCTATAAAATGTTTCATTGTGGTAATGTTTTATCATGCCTACAATTTGATTCATTTTTATCAGTGAACCCATAGGATGTATTTGATTGACCATGATCCGCAAGTTAAAAATATATACAGACATACTTTGAACACTTCAGCATGTCAAATGGACAAAAGGTTTTATAAGATGTGCTCTTAAGTTGATTTTCTCTCTCATTCTTGAATCATTATTTTTTTTTGTCAGAAGACAGCAATTCTTATTAATTCACACAAGTTATGGAAACTATATTTTACATTTATGAATTTTACTCAATATAACTAAGTATTTTCAATGAAAACTGATGTGTATGTGTGCAGGGGAAAATTTGTCATGAATATCTTTAATAAGAAATCTGATATCTTTGAAGATTTGCATACATATGGAAATATCCTTATACACAAGGTCTTTTAAAAAATGCAGGAGGATACAGTCAAAATTAATTATCAGCTGTGAAAGTTCAGAGTTCACTTGTCTGATGTATCAAATCAAATTCCCAGTGATTTGAAGAAACTTAGTTTTTGATCCACAGATGCCTTGGAGTCAGTTTTCTTAGAACATCACTGTCATAAAATCTAACATCAAAAAATAAGCAGAGGTCCACATTTAGTAGCAGGCACAGGGAAAATATGTCAGGAAATTATAAATAATCTTGCACAATGTTGTACACTGGAGTTCAATGTAAGTAAATTATTTTCATTCATTTAAATAGATACAATAAATGTTAACAATGAATGTTATCCAAAAAATGACATTGCAATTTTGTGTGCATACAAATTGAAAAAAAAATGTGACTGTTAGCAATTACACATTAGTTAAAAAAGTTATCAAATTACTTAGACAGTTATCTCTCTTTGTAGGTTCTTGGTTTATCAAAGAAGCAAATAATGAAGCTTGTGTATGTTAATGAAGTAGACTATGAATTCTACGGTCCATTGTCCGTTTTTCTATTTTTGATATTTGTGGGGGACTTGGTGACCCTACTAATGACACAGGCTTGGGGGAGCCATAATGAGTGGGGGTGATAGAGGTCAATCTGACACTGACGTCACTGCGAGCTGACCCTGGCGATATGGAAGATAACCTTGACCTATGACCTGATTGGATGGAACCTTGTGAGATAGATGATAACCTTGACCTTTGACCAGAAGACACAGACAGGAAGTCATTGTGATCCATGCCTCCTTGTGTAGAGGAGGCTTGGGAACTTCCTGAAAGACGACGTTCGTATGGGTCTCTCTGAATCGGCTGGACCTGTAACCATGGTGACGTGGCCTGGTGAGGTGACTTTGTCTCTGATTTAAGTTGTCTGTGAAGGTGCTCTTGTGAAAGCTGTGGAACAGCAACTGACACTCCACTGAAAATAATCAGCATTCATATGTGTACGAGATCTCTCGAAGAAAGTTGACGTAGTGATTTACATTGCAGAAAGATTATTCTAACTAAAAGCAGGTGAAATTTTTGTGAAAAATATACATTTCTACTTTTATTTGTGTGAGAACAATTAAAGTGTAATAAAAGGCAAGTAAACACTGACCTGTCAATTCGTCTGTATCCAGAAAAGGGAGGAGAAGCATTTGGGGATGATGAATCCTCATCATCATACAATATTCCGGGGGTCTGGATGCTTGGAATTGGTGGAGGGACTAAAAAATAACAAGTCAATTAAATTTAATTTGAAATATATCAACTTATTTCTTGAATGTTTTCTTTTCCATGATCTGTATCTTCCACAGAATTTTTTTGGGGATGAGGGAGGGGGCATTTTTTTTCACTCACCAGGAGACTTGATCTGAGGTACCCTAAGAGGAGCCAGTTCCCTGGAGGATTTGCGAGGTGGGGGTGTTTTGGGGAGGTCCTGAGGGATGGGGGAGGGGGGTAGAGGTGACATCCTGGGACTCATCACAGGAGGGAGCAGGTTGCTGGTTCCCATGCCAACACCAATATTCTGGTTGTCAAGGCGATTTTTGTCCTTGATGAAACTGCTGCCAGTGTGAAGGTCGTAGTTTTCTTCAAATGTTGTTGTTGCTGATGTCTGCAATATGAAGAGAAAATATTTCAAAATCAAATTTTGCTTTATTTTACCTTTTTTTCCTGACAAATAAATCTATAGAAAATATGAAGGAAGTAAAAACAAGTTAAAATTGACCCAAAACATTTAATAAATTTATATAAATCAACCATACTATTATCAATTAACTCGTACACAAAGATAGAGACATTTGTTTCATAGTGTTGAGGTGAGAAGAGGAGCTATAGACTTATTTCAATTCTCCCCCTCTCCATAAAAAAATATTATCATGGTCCATTGAAAAGGTAATTAATTAATAGCAGTGTTAATATTAGGAAGAATAACTCTGTTACCTGTCTGTGTGAGCGTTTCTGTAAAAAACAAATGTTGTAAAACAAGTTCAGTTAGCGAAATGATTAAAAGTTTCAGATTCAGAATGTTATATAAACAGAACATTTACAAAGTTAAATTAGAGTATTAATTCTCCGTTATTCAAAACAACATAAGCTTGACTGTTTCGACAAGGAAATTGTACTTTTCTTTGTTATTAAAATCTATTATAATAATTAGAATCTAGGAGTAGAGCGTTTAAAGCAACATTGAATGAAATTTCTTTATATGTTAGTGTTTCAGAGTTTCAGACAAATCATTATTACACTGTCACCAGATTAAATGTTTGGAAGAATAATCATTCTAGAAGATTGGTTAGAATTTACATCACAAGTATTAAATATCAAAAGAGCCAAAAACCATATTCCTAAAGGAAACATGATGGAGATGATAGCGATGACCTCTGACCTTTTTGTGTCGCCTTGACCTGCTTTTTCTCTGTTTCAGCAATGCATTGTCATCCTCTGTCTCATCAAATGTGGACAGGACGATTTTTGGCACTATGACACTGGTGGGGGTGACGGGTGATTTTATTTGGTTTTCGAGGCTCTGTGACTTTGACGAGGGCCGCGATTCCTCTCTCTTGGCCAGTTCTTTCAGAGATCGCTCGGAGTTTGACATGGAAGTGGTCCCGGACTGCTTGTCAAATGACCTCATTTCTATAGAGTCACTTGTAGCGTCGGAGGTTGGGGTGGAAGAAATCTTCTTGTTTCGGGGTCGGAAGAGGTCTTTGAGTTTCCCAAATGGATTGCGGTTGGAGTCAGACTTTTTCACTTTTGATCGTCTGTTTACAATGTTACTGCCCTTGATTCCCATTTTCTCCTCCAATAGCCTTACACATTCTATGTGAAAAAGAGTTCATTATAATAGTACACATTGAGAAAGAATTAATCTAACCAAGACAATAGATAAATCAGCTAAAGGAGAAAGAGAAGTAAATCTGAAATACTTATGAGAAAAATGTCTTAAATCATTTGCCTGATATTTCTGTTATAATTATTATGTAATGTACATGTATCTGATATATTCCCTGTCATCATAGTATTTGAATATTTATACTCTTTTTCTGTAAAGGACATTCTATCATGATACAAAGTATGCAGTTAATTGACATTGCTGTGCAATTCTTAACAGGTGATAGGGATAGGGGTACATGTTTTTGCTTTGAGACCATAAGGCTCCACTTTGATTCTGAATCCGGAACCGTATCTTAGCCATAATTGCAAAGCATAGGTAAAAATTTGTGGTAAAAGTCACCATAAGCTGATGATATCACTTATATCTGTGAAAAATTCTCAAGAGAGACATAAAAAAAAATTTTAAAGGAAAGAGCATAAAAATTTTAATTAGAGTTTTGTCACATTTTAAATTTATATTTTAGTAATTGTGCAGTTGACTTGTTCCACTAAATATAAGCATTGATCAAGTAAGTGCTGATAATTATTTTCAGATGTATATAGTGTCAACCATTGACATTTCACAATAGATGTTCGCTCTGAACGCTCTGATTATCTCCCTTTGATGTTTTTACTTTGATCACAATCCATCAAGATTTATCGTTAATTACTTAATGTACTTTCCATGTTCTACAGAGACTTTATATTTTATTTTTTAAGCCTTTATCAATTACACATAAGGTTACTATTCATTGCTCCCAGACTGTTTGACATAGTAACAGTGTAAACTGCAGTGTAAACTCTCATTTCCATAAACATCAAACCCTATAGTTCTAGTCAATATTCTTATTTAAGTCAAACAAAAGTGTTGAACTTTTAATCTATTCTTTTTTGCTGTCTTTATTTCTGATAGATTGCTTTACCAACTTTTTTTTAAATACCTGGGAAAAGAATGAAAAGAGATCAAGTGTTTGTCAGAAAAATTCTTTTAAAATTCGATCTTTACTGTTTTGCTTGGAAAGAAGTTCCTGTTCACAACAGAAAATTGTCATTTTGATTATCAGGGATACATATTGTATTCGGTTTTTTTTAAGGATGTCTTTGTCCTATTTCTGCTTCAATTATCAGTCAACATTTAGCAAGCAAACAATAGAATATGGAACCTTAATCTAGTAACACTATGTTTAGCAGCTTTATATGACCTGTCTGACTCAGACCTGTGAGATGCCTCAGGGATTGTGGGTCCAACTTGTCCCCTTATTGGTCAATATATATACATACCCCCTTTTTGACAAATCTTTTTGAGACATGAACAGAAATTTCCTCAGCAGATTAATTTTTAAATTAAAGCAGCTGTCCACAGGTAAATGCCTGACCTTTGTGACCTGTCTTTCTGGCATAATCTAGCGGGGTCCCTCCTTCAATGTCTGTGGGGTTGGGCGTGACCCCCATATTCAGCAGTACATTAACACACTGGGTGTGACCCATAGCTGCGGCCCAGTGGAGTGGGGTCCTAGAAAAATATAAAATTCTTGCTGTTAAATTGGGTATTAGCATGAGTTATTATTGAGTTATTATCAAGGTGGGGGTGGGGTGGGGGGGGTGGTGGTAATTTCTGTGTTATCAGAATTACATGTATTCTTGAAACTGAATCAAACATGTATAAAGGTGTTGGTAAGCAGGGAGATTTGCACAAAATCTTAAAGCATGTAATACAGCATTGTTATATTTTAAAAAATACTTGTTGGAACTTGACTTTTTTTGAGTTTTATATTTATTCTCTCTCACCTGTCATCCGGGTCCTCAGCCTCTAGGTCAGCCCCCTCCACACTGACCAGTTCCCTTAGCAACAGACAGTGACCGGCGGCCGCGGCGTAGTGTATGGCGTTCTTGCTGCTGTGGTCTTGTTGGTTGACAAGGCTGGGCCCCTTACAGCACTGCAGCAGGAGATGGCAGCACTCTACACTACCTTTCTGTGGAGGGGATTGAAAACAACATTAACCACAGTCTAACCTTGTTATCTTTAACTGGGGCCAGGGAAAAAAGTTTGATTCAAGATATTGAGGTCAAAATTAATATAAAGAAAAATATTGATTTGGACTTCCAGCTCAGTTTGATGTATGCCTTTGAGATATTGATGTTAGAGATCTAAAAGTTTGACTTATTTTATTTTATTGTCTTGGTCAGAGTCTTTATCAGATTTCATCTACAGTTTCAAAAGATGTTTAGTTAGCATTATAGTACAGTTCTAAGTATGATAACACTCAGGTTTGTAGAGGTTCACTGGAGATTGTAGAGATTGATGCTGGTGTATTATAAATTTTGATTTTTTTTATATCATTTGAAGCTCTTTTGATGTTGAGGACAGTATCTGATGCATCTCAGCTGCTTAGTGTGGTATCTTTTGTTGAGTAGCATTCAAATTGATGCACAGCCAAATAGAGTAATGGTTTTTTAGCTTTGTAGTTAACCTCAGTCTTTAGAATTAGTGATATTGCTTCTTTTGCAGTTTACCTAAGTAGCTCAGTGTATTATGGTGTGCCGACATAGTTTAGATCATTACCTCTGCAGCCCAGTGTAGTGGTGTTTTTCCATCAATATCCTGACAATGCATGACCGCCCCACTCATCAGTAACAGCTGTAGATGTTCTGGTCTGTTGTGGAAGGCAGCCCAATGGAGGGCCGTCATTTTCTACAAAATGATTGTACTCATCTTAAATTGTTAAAAAAAAAAATGGATTTTTAAAATAACACAACACATTATTATCCTCAGAATAAGATAAACCCTCTTGTCTGCAGAATAAGATAAAGGGTTGTTTTTTTTGGTCTTTAAAATTATAAGGTTTATCAATGTGGTCCATTAAATTATGAGGTCACTGAAAACTCATTATCCTCAAAATAAGACATTTTAACATCAATCATGGCTCTGTAAATGAGGCAAACCTTTTGGTCCTCAGAATAAGAAGAAGCTATTTTCCCCCAGAATCCATCAAACCTCATTGTCATACCTTATCATTCTCAATTTTGTGGTCTTCAGAATAAGTTATACTTTATTGTCCCCAGGCTAGGAGAATTCTCAACAACAGAAAACTACACACCTCATTGTCATCTTTGACAACTTCTTCCTTAGACAAAGTCTGCAGTAAAGCACCAATAATTCTGCAATAATAGAACAAAAATGATCTCTAATACAAAGTACTGGAGTATACAACTTAACTTTAGAATCTCAAACATTCATATCTTCAATACCATGGATATTTTGAGTCAAGACTGTTTAAGAAGAGCGAATGTCTTAGTAGCTGAGCATTAAACTGTACCTTTGGAGGATCTATTTGTTTGCCTTTTCTAGAATAAGTTGGTATATCTGGCTCCAGGGCCATAAAACAGAGACAAGCACACTTTTGATCTCAGTCTCACTTTTTCAAAAGGGATTAATAGTGGAAAAGTGAGACTGAGATCAAAAGTGTGCTCATCCCAGTTTTATGGCCCCGGAGCCTGTTGACTCTGTCAGGTGACTGTATTAGATGTTGCCATATTGTCAACTAAAAGATTCTCATGCATAACTATTCTATACTGAATATGATAGACCTGTGGCTATGGCTGACCACTATGTAACACATGTTGCTATATCTGATTTTGTTGTAAGTAGATGCCAGTTATGTTGCTATACCTGACTTTTGTAGAAACTAAAGTTAATCCTACCTGACATCTTTGTCGTAGGTAGATGCATGTAGAGGCGTCCTCCCTGATTTCTCAGCTATGCTCTGTTTTGCACCTTTTCTAAGCAAATATATCACTCCTTCAAACCAACCCTATAAAATACCAGTATATAATGCAAACCAGTGAATTACATTAAATGGTATGCTGAAACCTTCAATTAGGCAATTTTCTTGAGACTGTCATTTGAAAATATAAAATACTTGAATGGTATGATTACTACATGTAATTTGGTTATTTGGTTGGGATTCTTTGCTTGTTGTGTAGCTTTTCAGCATGTGGGATTTAATTTCATTGATAATTTTTTAACCATGAAATAAATGTAATTAAATCCCTAACAAATATTTTAGCATTTACAGTATTTATTATTAATGATAGCTAATGTTTACTGATTTGGTGTGTATATTTCACTGTTTGTTACTTGTATATATGTAGCGATGGGGACTGCATGACTACACCTGCCATGGTGTGTAGCTATGGTTATTGAATAGTGTAGCTATGGAGTTATTCTCTTGTTAGGAAGTTTGGATATTGCCATGGTCTGCAACTATGATATTAAATGGTGTTAATTATCCAGTTCATGCCATAGTGTGCAGCTAAGTTACTGAATAGTGTGTAGCTATGGCTTTTGTATGGTAACTAGATGGTATGTAGCTAAGGTTATTGAATAGTATGTTGCTATGGTAACTGCCAAGGTGTATTGCTATGGTTATTGAATGGTGTGTAACTATGTTACTGCCATGGTGTACTAAGCTTTTGTTCCTGCCATGGTGTGTAGCTATGGTTATTGAATAGTGTGTAACTATGGTACTGCCATGGTGTACTAAGCTTTTGTTCATGCCATGGTGTGTAGCTATGGTTATTGAATAGTGTGTAACTATGTTACTGCCATGGTGTACTATTAGCTTTTGTTCCTGCCATGGTGTGTAGCTATGGTTATTGAATAGTGTGTAGCTATGGTACTGCCATGGTGTACATTGTTCGTTCCTGTCATGGTTGAGTAGCTATGGTTATTGAACAATGTAGAGCATTTGCTTCTGCCATGGTGTGTAGCTATGGTTTTTTTTAATAGTGTGTAGCTTTGGATCCTGCTATGATTACTGATTTAGTTGGTAGGAGATCAGGTTACTAACCTCGTATGTTGCTCTGGCCAGTGGAGTTCTTCCCTGACAGTCCTGAGTGTTTATATTTCCCCCCATCTTGATGATTTGCTTCACAGCTTCTAGCTGTTTGGACTTTACAGCATGCCCCAAGGGAGTTAAGCCTGTAAATTATACAGGAAACAGACAATGATGGTTTACTGTGATTTTAAAGTGTACTAAACACCTGTAATATTAAATGTGTAAAATATTTTTTTTAGTGAGAATGAAATTTTATTTATTGTAGTTTCGCAAAGTACATGTATCTCTTAAAAAGGAAAATTATTTACTTTACGTACTGTTCAAATTAATACAGTAAAATTTATATACAAATATATTTTACATCACATCACATAATCAAGAAACCCAATTAGGACATGTCTTCAAGTCAATTTGCTTTATCATTATTACTTGAAAAATGAAATTTCACCTTGAACTTTGAAATATTGTGATGATCTAGGGCTTTTAATTGTCATAGGAACCTTAACAGCTGCTTCTACAGACAGGAGGAAAACCTTCAGATAGTACCAGATTTATTGATTTTTCACCAGGAAATTGTGCATAATGAAAGTAATTTACCATTAAGCTCCGCAGGTAATCACTATTTATATGAACTGCTCATAGAGATTATCATCCTCACAACGTCAGGGGTCCTGAGTCAACACGTTGCCGTTGGAAGGGGTCCAACGGCAACGTGTTGACTCAGGACCCCTGACGTTGTGAGGATGAGAGATTATATAGCTGACATTACACTAGATATAGGACCTCACCCTTAAGGCCGGTTTACACTATGCATCTTGACACATGCATCTTGGATGCATGTGTCAAGATTCACAGTGTAAAAGCCCCTTGTGTCAAATTAAATGGGTGCATGTTGCATCTTGAACGATGGAATAGAACTTGTTCTATTCCGTGCTTCAAGATGCATGGAACTGACCAATGAAAAGAAAGGTCAGAGTTAATACTGAATCATGAGCCTTATTTTTTTCATATATTTTCAAAAATAACTTCCCAAGATACACAAAAGCAGAAAATACTGATTAAAACTACAATTAGAAAAACTTATTTGATTATTATAAGTTAGCAGAGTTTTTGTTTTGGAATAAATATAAATTATACCTTCCAAGAACTGTCATAAAAAGGAAATTAAGAATGATTTGTTCAACTAAAATAAATCTGGAAATGAAATTTGAAGGTATTGTTATTTTTTTAAGCAGAGAAATTTCATCTTTACAAAGTATTCTAAAGATGCATGCATCAAGACACATAGTGTAAATAAGAAGATGCATGAGGCAAAATTGAAGCATGAGTTTAGATGCATGTGTCAAGATGCATAGTGTAAACCGGCCTTTACTCCAATTTAAAAAAGTCAGATTGCACAATGACAAGATACAGAATTTATTTCTCATTTCAATCTCATAGACTTATAGCCCTTTGTGATTCCTGCTTATTATTGTATTAGGTACAGAAGCAGTTGTGTAAACCGCTCAAGGTGAGATTAGTTGATGCCTGTTACTCATTGTAATCATAATACATTGCAATAGATGTCTGTGAGCAAGGAAAAAAAGATTCTTGATATATACATAATTAGTGGTCATGTTTCTTGGACCACATGTAAATATTTCAATACAGTATAATTGCATCTCTCTTTGCTGATTGACCATTTATATATAGATCGATCTGCTATATCCAGATCGAGAAACTAAATTTTGGTTTAATTCACATCACAGGCTAAATGTATAAACTCCTCTCTTGTTACTGGTATTGCTCTTGCTATTTTTCAGATTTAGACCATTCATTGGGTCTACATGAATACTTAAGGTGGATGAACCCCCATTGCAATATTCCTTACCTTCACTGTCCTCTAGCTCTAGAGAGCTGGGGTCCCGTTTGATGGCCTTAACGAGAGCAATTATCTCCCCTTTAGCCGCTGCTCGGTGAGCGGGGAGCTGTGAATCACTCTCTATATCAGGATCTGACCCCTCTGTAATGAAAAAAAACGGAGAATTAAACTCCAAATCAGGAAAACATGAAGTCCTCTGTAACAAAAAAAGTGGAAAATTATAAATGCAAAAAAGTTATGTAAAAAATCTTGTGATCTCCCTGAGTGAGTTAGTTTTAAATTTCAGAAAACGAAACTCTCCACATTAATGTGCATTGTATTTGAGACTTAGTTGTACATTACTGCTATATATAGGCTTATTTAGTCAATTCATGACGATTTGCTTGGTCAAAGGTAAGAAATGAAGTGACCCAAGATAAGATGTGGGTAATTTTTGTCAGGAGGAAGATGCTTTTAAAAAATTCTAAGGAAACATTTAGTATACGGGACTGAAACCCTGTTTTAAAGTTTATCTCAAAGGGAGACAATCTGATGTCATTTTAGAAGTCAATACTTTACAGGAAGCAACAAACATGCAGTTATTTGTAGAAAAAAACATGGTTTCCAAACCTGAAAAGGAAACCCAATCAATGGACAGATTTTTTTCTGGTGACAGAGGATTATGGGATGCTCTGCGTAAAATTTTGTCCCCCCGTTTAGAATTGCCATGATCCAAAGAGGCCAGACTGATACAGAGAGTGTCTGCCATGTCATTCTCCAGAAGTTCAAGCACTTTTCTTGTATCCATTAAAGGTCTGTTTGGTAGTTAAGAATGGTAATGACATCATTCTCTTTAAGTAAGTTATCATTCATAGTTAAGGTTATGAATGTCCTATTTGATTTTTCAGACTGTATTCCCTGCTCCACCATTTGAATCGGTCTTCAGTCACAATTTCTCTTTTGTCACAAAAGAGCTATCTTAATTAAACTTTCCTGTTGAAACCAAAAAGAAGAAAAAACCAAAGGAGAGCAAAATTAATTTAAAGAAGTTCCACAAATATCCCACTTCCATAAATATTCCACTTTTAAGTCCAATAGTATGTTGCATTCTTATTGAATATGGAAATCCATCCAAAAACAATCTTCGAACTATGTCATTTCAACTTTTACTGAGTCTCAGAATATTGACGGAAAGTAAGAGATGGGCCATTATGTTTACAAATATGGTGGGATTACACAACAGACACATAAACTTTAGGATCAGAGCAATTAAAGCCTGGAGTAATAGAGGGGTGGGTTGGTAGTTCAGGAGAGGATAAAATGAACATTAAACCGTATAATTCCACTGCGCTGTCGGTTAACACAGGGATTAATTCTTACAGTTCACATAATACGATTATAAAATGGATAGATTAAAAACACTCTCAGAATTTGGATTGACTTAATTGGTTAAACCTGATGTAACACACAGTTACACGGTGGATTTTTTTGGATGGAGTGTTGACGTTTTATTGTTTCATGTTGTGACGAGTGTTACAAATTTCTATAAGAAGGATGTATCACGTTTATCCCTTGACTGAGACACCTTTTAAATTTCTTTTAAAAAGACACCTACAATAATGGGTCAGGTTTAAAGCATGATTAGACAATGAGACTTTAATAAAGAAAAACTCAATGTTGCCTATCAGATTTTGTTACAAGTATATATTATTTAAATACAAACTTTTCATTAAGTTTTTAAAATAAATAACCATGCCTGCAAATTTCATTCAGAAACTTTCATAGAAAATTCTAATTGAGGTCGATCTCAGGAGTTGCTGATGCTCTTCTTTTTTTAAATTAATTCTTAACTTTATGACTGTTTTTTAATGCAATGAAAAACCATTTAAGAATTAATCGTAATACAATGTCTATACAGTATGTGATCATAGACATGTTTTCCACATTTGGAAAATATTTTAAATGAATTTGGAATTTGGGAAAGCAGTGCGCTGTCATACCTCATTTGTTTACTCACTGGGGCTGAGAGAAAAAAAAATCCCTTTAATTTTAAGACATCTGAAGATGGGAGAGATTGGGGTTTAAATACATAAAGAGACTTTCAATTCATTTTGACAAATTCAAGGTTTTCTATCAATGTCGACACCAAAGCTAATCTATACTTGAATTTAGAAATACATAAGGAATCCCCCCTCCCCCCCCCAAAAGATAAAGAAATTACAATTAAGCTTCAAGAATAACATTTTCAAATGAAATTTTTCAAGATGTGGAAGAAAAGCATCTTTTACTGGAAATGTAGTGTATTATATTTTGTGTGTAAGATATTTGGCAGTACATGTTATTGATTTTTGAACAATTTAGCGAAGATTTGACTTTTCTTTTTGTTCCTTATATGCATTACATTTAGCATTGTACTTAAATTAGTGGAAGTTACTTTCCATAAAAGGCCCTAAAAAGATTTGTAATACATTTACAGTATTTTGAAGATACAAGACATTAACAGAGTGGATTTAGTAATATCAGTGCTGACTGAACTCACGTCTGAGATGATATTTCCTGTGTGCAGCTGACATATGCCCCTGCTTATCCATAGACAGAGAAATATGCTATCATCAAGTCAACATATAGTAATTTGTACAAATACATCCTTTAAATTCTCCGCAAATAAGTACATCACTCTCCATTGTTTTTGTTCACAGACATCAACATTCAACGAAAATTATTTAAACAAATATATTCATGGTCCATCATAGAATATTTTCAAAACTTCTAACCAATCATTAGATAAACTTCCCTGTTCTGGTAATGTTGAGTAACTTGATATTCTTACATCACAGTCCTGCACATGATCAGCGTTCTAAATTTGATCAATGCAACTTCATTCAAATGATAATTGAGTTTTCTTAATGAAGGATTAAAAGACTGGTCTATTCCTGTGCCTTATAGATTTTTTAAATACTTATTCTGTGATCAGGAACATTGTCAACTAGTGACCCAGAACAATTTGTTTGTCTACTGGATCTATCTCTCAGATTGCGTTTTAAAAAACTCCAATACATAATAGATGAAGGCCGTTTATAGTGACATGCTTTAATAGCAATATGACAGAGCCACTTTTTATATTAAATTGTCAGAACTTTATGTAGAAATGGCCATTGTGTAAATAATCATATGGTCCTGTCCAGGTATTGATTTGCTAATGGGCTCTAATAATTGATTTCAATAAATCATGACAGCTTTATTCAGAAACGGTGTGCAATATTTGCATGACTTTCTTCGGGCTATGAGAAATGTACACTCCGCTGCCTTAAACAGACTTTTGTACAAACATTGCATATATACAGAAAAAGCAATATATATATTAGTATATTAACATTAAATTTGTACCTCGATCAAATTGTAAGTATACATGTAATATGAGCAAAATGATTAATGACTATACTGATTAAAAAATCATATTATTGTTAATTATTAATAACAAAAAAAAGAAACTCAACATATCAATTTACACCAATAGAAAATCCACAGTAGTTTAAAGTACATGTACGTTGTTTAATAAAATTAAAAATTTGTGAAATACCTGGCCCAGTTTGTACTGTATTTTGATTGGTCTAGCAGTTAAGCTAATTTTTTTTTACAAAACTTTGAGATGCTTTTGTGGTCCAAAATTTTAACAGCATAGTAATGCCGTCGTCCGTCCATCTGTAAACGATTCTGTCTGTCCAAACAATTTTTCAAAATGCTACATTGTAAAATACAGTTTTGGTCTATTTCAGTATAACTTGACACACAAGTAGACTACACTAAGAACATATGTGTATCATTTTGAATGATAGAGAACGGTGTTGCCGTGGTTACAAAAATAGAAATTTCTGTGAAATTCTTATAAAATGTGACTCCTCCTACAGTTTTAGTCTGATTTCAGTATAACTTGGCACACAAGAGACTACACTAAGATACATAATTCTGTGTATAAAGATTTCGATGAACGGTGTTGCCTGGTTGATAAAAATAGAAATTTCTGTGAAATTCTTTCAAAATGATACTCCTCCTACAGTTTTGGTCTGATTTCAATATAACTTGGCACACAAGTAGACTACACTAAGATACATAATTCTATATATCGTTTTTTGATTTCGATGAACGTTGTTGCCGTGGTTACTAAAAATAGAAATTTCTGTGAAATTCTTTCAAAATGCTACTCCTCCTACAGTTTTGGTCTGATTTCAATAAACTTGGCACACAAGTAGACTACACTAAGATACACAATTCTGTGTATCGGTTTTTTATTTCGATGAACGGTGTTGCCGTGGTTACTAAAAATAGAAATTTCTGTGAAATTCTTTCAAAATGTACTGAGAGACAGTATTAGTCTGATTTAATATAGAGAAGCACACAAGTAGATACACTAAGATACATAATTCTGTGTATGGTTTTTGATTTCGATGAACAGTGTTGCCGTGGTTACTAAAAATAGAAATTTCTGTGAAATTCTTTCAAAATGTACTAAGAGACAGTACCTAGTCTGATTTCAATATAGACAGTACACAAGTAGACTACAATAAGAGACATAATTCTGTATATCGGTTTTTGATTTCGAGACATTGTACCGTGGTTACTAAAAATAGAAATTTCTGTGAAATTCTTTCAAAATGCTATCCAAAGACATTTACTGATTAATAAGATAAATGTGGCATGTAAGTAGAGACTAAGAACTTAAAGAGACTTAATAAGAGATCATTATTCTGATTTATTGCTGTTGAAAAGTAATTTCCAATGCTTAAGACTTTTCTCTTCCTTTGCTATAAGTACAAACCAGACAGTATCTACTGATATAACAGAAGACTTCTGGTTTACAAAACTTTGTGATGCTTTTGTGGTCCATCAATATTTTAACAGCAATTATACTATATAAAACTAGATGTTAATGAACTATAGGTCATGTAAACGATTCAGTTCCATCCAAACACAAGAGAAAAATTATACATTTTAAAATAGCAGTCGATTCATATTGTAAGTTAGTAAACTAAGAGTAACTCCTTATAACACATGAGTCATTATGAATGATAGAGCTAATGAAACAGCTAGTATACTTACTGTTGTTATAAAAGTGACACTGTGTACTGAATTAATGTAACAAGAAAGTACTAACTGATAACTGTACCTATTGATGTAAGTAGAGACGGTATCTATATCTAAAATGGATATAATAATAAACAGTACCTACTAATATAACAAAAGACTGTACCTACTTATATCATAAGAAACAATACCTACTGATGTAATAAAACACAGTACCTACAGATGTAATAAAACACTGTACCTACTGATGTAATAAAACACAGTACCTTCTGATGTAATAAAACACAGTACCTACTGATGTAATAATAGACAGTGCCTACTGATATTATAAGAGACAGTACCTACTGATATAATAAGAGACAGTACCTACTGATGTAATAAGAGACAGTACCTACTGATGTAATAAGAGACATTACTTACTGATGTAATAAGAGACAGTACCTACTAATGTAATAAGAGACAGTACCTACTGATGTTATAAGAGACAGTACCTACTGATGTAATAAGAGACAGTACCTACTGATGTAATAAGAGACAGTACCTACTGATGTAATAAGAGACAGTGCCTACTGATTGAATAACTACCTACTGATGTAATAAGAGACAGTACCTACTGATGTAATAAGAGACAGTATCTACTGATGTAATAAGAGACAGTATCTACTGATGTAATAAGAGACAGTATCTACTGATGTAATAAGAGACAGTACCTACTGATGTAATAAGAGACAGTACCTACTGATGTAATAAGACACAGTATCTACTGATGTAATAAGAGACAGTACCTATTGATACAATAAGAGATAGTACCTACTGATGTAATAAGAGACAGTGTCTATTGATACAATAAGAGATACTACCTACTGATGTAATAAAACACAGTATCTACTGATGTAATAAGAGACAGTACCTACTGATATTATAAGAGACAGTACCTACTGATGTAATAAGAGATAGTACCTACTGATGTAATAAGAGACAGTACCTATTGATACAATAAGAGATAGTACCTACTGATATAATAAAACACAGTATCTACTGATGTAATAAGAGACAGTACCTATTGATACAATAAGAGATAGTACCTACTGATATAATAAGAGACAGTACCTATTGATACTATAAGAGATAGTACCTACTGATGTTATAAAACACAGTATCTACTGATGTAATAAGAGACAGTACCTACTGATGTAATAAGAGGCAGTAACTACTGATGTAATAAGAGACATTACATACTGATGTAATTAGAGAAATACCTATTGATACAATAAGAGACAGTACCTACTGATGTAATAAAACACAGTACCTACTGATGTAATAAGAGACAGTACCTATTGATACAATAAGAGACAGTACCTACTGATGTAATAAGAGACAGTATCTACTTGATAAGAGACAGTATCAATAAGAGACAGTACTACCTACTGATGTAATAAGAACACAGTATCTACTGATGTAATAAGAGACAGTACCTACTGATGTAATAAGAGACAGTACCTACTGATGTAATAAGAGACAGTACCTACTTGATAAGAGACAATAAGAGACAGTACCTACTTATGTAATAAAACACAGTACCTACTGATGTAATAAGAGACAGTACCTACTGATATAATCAGAGACAGTACCTACTGATGTAATAAGAGACAGTACCTACTGATATAATAAGAGACAGTACCTAATGATGTAAAAAGAGACAGTACCTACTGATGTAATAAGAGACAGTACCTACTAATGTTATAAGAGACAGTACCTACTGATGTTATAAGAGACAGTACCTACTAATGTTATAAGAGACAGTACCTACTGATATAATAAGAGACAGTACCTACTAATGTTATAAGAGACAGTACCTACTGATGTAATAAGAGACAGTACCTATTGATACAATAAGAGACAGTACCTACTGATGTAATAAGAGACAGTACCTGCTGATGTAATAAGAGACAGTACCTACTGATGTAATAAGATACAGTACCTACTGATGTAATAAGAGACAGTACCTACTGATGTGATGAGAGACAGTACCTACTGATGTAATAAGAGACAGTACCTACTGATGTAATAAGAGACAGTATCTACTGATGTAATAAGAGATAGTACCTACTGATGTAATAAGAGACAGTACCCTGATGTGATAAGAGACATTACTTACTGATATAATAAGAGACAGTACCTACTGATGTAATAAGAGACAGTACCTACTGATGTAATAAGAGACAGTACCTGCTGATGTAATAAGAGACAGTACCTACTGATGTAATAAGAGACAGTACCTACTGATGTAATAAAAGACAGTGCCTACTGATGTAAAAAGAGACAGTATCTACTGATGTATAAGAGACAGTACCTACTATGTAATAAGAGACAGTACCTACTGATGTAATAAGAGACAGTACCTACTGATGTTATAAGAGACAGTACCTACTGATGTAATAAGAGACAGTACCTACTGATGTAATAAGAGACAGTACCTACTGATGTAATGAGACATTACCTACTGATGTAATAAGAGACAGCTCTTTTTGTTTGTTTGTTGAATCATTTTGTGAAAGATGTCATAATTTTATTAGAGACCCTTCTGTTTCTTTGACTGCCCCCTGTGGGTAGTTTTATGCCTTGAAATAGATAATTTTCTGATCTGCGGTAAGTAAATGATGACATTACATTAAAAATCTTCTAATCATAAAATCGTCTGTTTATAACACTCATTTACCACTGAATGTGTAATGATTACAAGTTTCATTCGTTTATAGTTGGAATATTTAAAAAACGTCTTTGTAATAGTTTTCTCTTTCAAATAATGAAAAAAGTTTTGTCGGAAAGTGGAAAACTTACCCATGTTAAGTAACACTAAACATAATTACTCCAACTTGATAACTATATCTGCATTTCCCTACATACTTTTACATATATTTTCTTGTCGATTCCAGGGTGTATGGGGAATGACAAACATAAGAATTCTATTGTCTTGACTGAGCCTCGATTTACGAGTCCTTTATTACAATTACCGGCCCCTGATCTTACAATAAAGAACTGATTCCGTTACTGCCTCGGTTGTGCACCATTTGATATTAAAGTTTACAGCAGAGTTTCGATAAGATCGGTCTGATCTCCGGTGACGTGAGCACTGCCAGGTTATCATTATTTAAGTTATTAACACACGCCAGAACAGTTTCTGGGTGTTTAATAGTGGATAATATCGGTAAATATCGGCATCTTAACACTAGAACTCATTTAATTTGTCTCCAGTCTAATTTCCGTTGTCTCATTTATTGTACTTTCACGCAGGAACTGTCAGAATGTACTTTTTCTCCTGCATACCAAGTTTAATTACACCTTAACAGCACTTCGAACACGCGGGTCACTCGGGAATAAAAAGTAAACGCGACTAACTTTTTTATGTTTATTGTCATATACATATTTAAGAGCAAATTAATATTGTGTTTTTTAAGATTACCATTCTGTCTTTATAAGAATTATTTATCCCCCCCCCTCCAAAAAACATTATTTAAAACATGCGCACAAAAAATTCTCGGCGATATTACGGCATCTGTTTGGAGCGGTATAACTATCTTTTTAATAGAATCATGATTTAGAACCCTTATGTAATAAAAGAACGTTAAACCTTCCAATCACTGCATAATTATATAGTCGATTAGCTGTTTACTATTCCCATGGAATTACAAGTCTAATACACACCCTCCTCAGTTACATTGAAATATACGAAAAATGCTCACCGCCTATGTTATCCAGGTAGGTGTCGGAATCAAAATCCATTTCATGTTTCCAGATAGAAAAGACAAGGATCGGGGTAGATTTCCTAACAACATCCAACTCAAAATCGATATGTTTAGATACACCCTGCTTATATCAGTGTATATACACTGATGAGAGACTTCTTCTTTAACACTGGACATTAAGCAGTACCTTTGAGTTAAAGCATCTTCCCCAGAGTGTTTTATAAAATCTCTTTGTCTTTACACGAGGGCTAATTTTGCTTAATTGATTTATCGATAAAACTGCTGTGTTGGATTGCAACACGCGATCATAACAGGTATTATAACAGGTATTGGGAAACGCCACGCCATCTTATTTAAAAGGGGTATATGAGAGAAAAGGTAAATTAGTCCACTTTCAGTATGTTGACATTATGAAATCGGGGAAAAAAATGCTTTGGGGTTTTTCATAAGAAAAATTCCCGGATACGTTTTTTTCGCTGAAATTCTTTAACAAAAATGGAAGATGATCTGGAGTTTCTAGATTTTAAAAATGTAAATCGACTTACAAGGGTATCGTACGAAAGCCTATTTGGATCGATCTATGGAGAAAAAAAGAAAAGAAAATACGTTATATAACGCCTTTCCAAAACTAAAGGCGTATATATAATAACGCGAAAACAGGCATTAAATTACGCCTTTTCAAAGGCGTTATATTACACATTTCTCTTTCCAAAAGGTGTTAGGCCTATTAGACCTCTCAAAAAGGCGTTATTACGCCTTTCCAATACTCCTTTCCAAAAGGCGTTATTATTCGCCTTCTAAAAAATGTGTCATTTATAATACGCTTTATTTCAATACACGACTAACTTAAAGCCCACCCCGGGGGCTGAAATCTTACCCTCGGGACAGGAATTTCACAATTTAATGTAGGGCTTATTTCTCATAAAATAATTCAAACAAAATGTGATTAGATTTCCTGGAAAAAAAAAGATTTTCAAATGCGTAATATATTTTCAATGTTAAACTAACTTAGTCATTTTCTGATGCCAAATACCTCTACCAAGGGTCACGGATTTCGCACATTTAGTTGAAGGCTAATTCCTCAGCACACCCATGCAAATAGTTTGTCTGCTTTTTTCCAGAGAAGCGAAATATACTTTCAAATTTCACATGAATGTTTAATACATGGCCAACATAAGCCCCAAGCTGGATTTGCCGATATTCTGGATTTTCCACGAGTGTTGAATTCTCTAATATTACTCATGCAAACGTGCAGGAAAATAGAAAACACTTTTTTATTTTGCATAAATAAAAATGGCTTTTCAATTTTTCGTTTACATGTATTGATTAACATAAGGTAACATCCTTCCATTTTTGGCTATAACGCCTTTTCAAACAGGTCGCTAGTGCGAGAGGAGGACTCCTCATCCCCATTTTTTTTGGGAGAATAGTCCTAATTCTGTATTCGGTATTTAAATACTAGATGTTAATAACTTTTCTTGTTTGCTTAATCCACATAACTTTGTATCTACGAAACAAATCTGTCTATATATAAGAGACTGTTTTGATGTTAGAAAAAGCTTACAATAGTATAATATTTTGCAATACATGTATATGGCTAACAACACATTCCTGTATATAAATATGTGCTTTAGTGCCAATAAAGAATTGAATTGAATTGAAAATATGCATTCTGAGCACATTTCAGGTACTTGTGGAAAAGACCCCACATGTTGATAATGATAAAGATAAATAATATCAATTTTATTTTACGATAAATAAAAATGGATTTTATTGATGGTTAGTTTTGGAATTCTTTATTATTTTATTCACTGCCAAAAGAAGGGGCGGGGTGTCCGCACTTTCTGCAGTTTTTGTTTTAAGGTTTCTTTTCCACTTCAGATTCCCGATATTATTTAATAGATAGAGGACAGGTGGAAGGTTTATAGCAGCTGTTTAAAAAAAAGTGGCACAACCTTACAAAAAAAATTTAAACAGCAACAAAAAAGTAACCTGTTTTGTTTTATACCTTACCTGTTAGATAATCATGTGTTTAAGAGCAACATTATTTTAACGATAGAACATTCTATCTATACCTTACCGTGTTATTTTCTCCGAGGTGATAGCCAAGCTTAAAAAAATTTCTCACTTTCTGATACGTACGCTTTGAAAAAAAATCTTGAATTTACCATTACTTAACCTAGCACTAAGCACCGACAACAAGGGGGAGGCGGACAAATTATACTCGAAGAAGTAACCCCCCCCCCCCCATGCGTTCTACACTCGGAGTTTATTAAGTCAAGCGTTATCGATTTCCGTATTACATTGACTTGATGCGTTTCCGGTTCCGTTGTAAACCTTTCACGTTGGCATATCCCAAGGCAGCTGTTGATCTTATGTTGTAGAAATTTTAGCAAGATGCAGTTCGACATAAGAAGGTAATTTAACACATATTTATTTATATTCTATCATTTTAAATGTGAAAATATTGCATATTGCTATGCAAAAACTGAGGTAGATCGCCAATTTGATGGATTGGTTTGACAGGTCGACTATGAACTTGTTTATCTTGAAATCAAAGTTAGAAAAAGTCTGTTTGTGAAGCATTCTGAAAAGAGATTAACTGGAAAATAAATTGACCTGTTCAGTCAGAACATGATTTGCGGCGAGATTCAATTTGCGAAGGATCATAGGTCCAGAGTTACTGCAGAAAAAAAAAAATAGGCCTATTGTGTCGCCGTTTACAAAACACGGACAGGTCACGGAATCACGGATGCACTGAAATATAGAAAATAGTACAAATCAGGAGTTGTTTTTTGCACAAATTGTGAAATCTATATTTATAAGAGGTTGCGTTAACGAATTAACCCGGTTTGTAAACTAATCACTTTAAGATGAAAATTCTGTATTTTTCTCATCAAAGTCCAATACTAAGCTTAACCTACCCTGTCATGCTGAATTATTCTTGCTTTTATCATTTATCATAAAATTATTAAATTCAACTCGTTTGATGTCCTAATTTTTAAATAAACATGAACAAGCTTTTTTGTGACGCTGATAAAGCGTACATGCATGCAGAAATTTTCATACCGCTCCAATTGAATCGTTTCTTAAACAAATTTGGTGCAGATGTTTGTAAAATTATGTGTCTAACTCTGAAAGCGTACAATTTCTAAATCAGAAATTAATAGTATTCTCTTTTTGTGAATTTGGCGTTTCCAATAACGAATCGCTGTTTCAAGAAATATGAGATGCAGGAATCTTGTTCAAATTATATTTTTCGTATGCGTTTTTTTTTTGCACACAAGTTACGATAAAATACAACAACAGAAGATGTCCACCAAAAGCGTACAAAAAAGGTGGTTAAAATACACATAAACAAAATCAGCAGTTAAAATCGATATGTTTAGAAGTGCAGAGCTTATATCAGAATGTATATATAGGCTATATACCTGTCGTAAGCTATTGTGGACATTAATAGCAAATAAAAATCGTCTTGATTACTTTAAGTTAAAATTTTATTTATTTATCCCTTTGCAATTTAAACTTCCCTACTAAGTCATTATTTCCAACAATACCCCGCATGCAGTTTTTCTTTTCCTATTCCCTAAAAAATTATTTCCAATAATTAATTTTTATTTCTTGTCATGATCAAAATCAAGCTCGTATAATATAAAATGCATATTGCTAACAATACTTTTTCAATTCAACATCAAGCTATATAAATTATAAACAGAATATTATGATACCCCCCCCCCCTTATCAACATATACTGGTTAGTAAACATTTGATTTAAATGACACATTGAGAAAATGATATGCAGACTGCAGCCTTTTGCCTATATGGAATGTCTTCACGTGAAAGGGAGAAAGAGCACTATGAAAGCAACTAGAGGAGAATGAGCTGTCTTATTCATTTCTATAGAGACGATGGGCACGTTTTTTTGTAAAGTGAAAGGACAACCTCCAAAAATCGGAATATTGATATTAAGTCTACTGTGGATTTTTCCAAAATATAACATCATTATTTGTAAAGTTGTCTCTGCTATCGGAGGAAATTTAGGTGTTGGATCGACTATTTTAGAAAAATATAATTGTTATATAAGCCTTTACGTACATCTCTGAGGACAGGCTCATATGAAGCAATTTCAGTTGGTAGGGGAGGGGTGCAGAGCCATGCATATGCAGTTGAGGAGGCACTATTTACCACCAAATTTCCCTGACAAATAATTAATCAAGCATAAAAAGGTCATCTGGCGGGTTTTTTTTTTTGTTTTTTTTTTTTTGAGGGGGGCACAATTAATAAGCGTTATTATTTTCTATCTCAATAGCGACAAAATTATGAGGAGGGGGTGTGATAGCTCAATGAGTACAATTTTTGAATAAGAAAATAATTCTTTGGTTGTTTGCAGTTCATCACATATAAGATTTTACGTCCTCTTATATGAACTAGTCATTTGTTTTCGCTATGATTTCAATGTTGTTGTTTTTACATTAATTGTCGGATGCAAACAACTCAAAAGATTCCTAACTTTTCTACTTTTTTGGGGTGGGTGGTTAGGGTTTGAAATATTTTAAGGCATAGTAAAACGTTACGTAAGAAGGGTATTTTTAAATTTACCCGTCCTGAACCAGAATAATCAGCTTTATGTCACGTGATTCGGTAATGGAGAAAATGATCCGGTAATGGAGAAAAAATCATTAATATAAGTACGGCGATAATTTTTTATTTGATCAGTGGTTATTGGGGAAAATATATGATGTTATAAGTAAAACATAGTACCACCAAACAATGTTGTAAAATGAATTTAAATCAAACTCAGGGAGAGAAATATACAAATTTACATAAGTTTAATACATGGCAACCTCACTGTACATTAAAAAAATCCTGAGATTTAAATAAAAATTGAATTAATATTCACGGAATTTATTTATCTGGAGAAAATGTTACAATATTAAATAACACAGATTTATATGATAAACTGTTGCTCTACAATAAAAATGGTTTTAGACTTTCAATTTGTTTTTCATGTATTGTTTTTGACATAAGGTAAACCACTGGCGACACTTTTTGTGCAATTAAACATGAATCCATTTCAAACAGGCATTCTGCACGTGCAGAGCAACTTCATATCAAATGTAAACTCTATTGACTGTTGGCGTTTACACGGAGATGATACATTTCATTAAATGGGGCCTCATTGCTTCAGTGTGGAAATGAGTATTCTCTGGAAGTCCACTGAAACATATCTCTACTGCATTTGCAATGGCATACAGTCCACAGTCGTTGCCATTTTTCTGGACATCAGAATTCATAAAGTGTACTGTAATGTTTTCCTCTGGAGAATGCATTATATTAAATGCTCATTTTAACGGCTGATGAAATTGAGTTTGACATTGCGCTATTATAAATTTACTGCCAAAAGAAATTTTACATTCATAGTTGTAAACATTATCCAATGTTGACCACCAGTTTTAAGGTGTGTATTTACAATTTGAAAAAAATTGTCAACAACTGGACGAATTATTTTCAGCATAGACACAAGGCTGAAAGCCGGCAATGGGGGAATTGTTTTTAGGCATCTTTTGTTGGCCTTTCATCAAAAAATTTGACTTTTTCTTTTATGTAAAAATTTGCCGAACATTTCAAAAAAGTAACCTGATTTCCGCTTTTCATCCGTGACAACTGATTCTTTATAAATTTTGTGAGCGCTTTTGTCACTGGTCTTTACATTTTCTTGAATTTTTTTGATCAAAAATTTGGAAATTTTTGTTTGTTTTGTACTATTTCTTGCGCCTTTGGTTTTGAGAAAGATGCATCTCCAAGATAGTGTATCACGGCAATGTTTTTAAAGTTCGAAGATAACATACCTTCTTTCCTAAACCTTTTGTCAATGCGTTCTACACTCCGAGCAATATGCAAATAGTAATAATACTTTTCGATTTCCGTAGTTCCCTTTCACTTTCCGGGTTCCTTCACATGAAAAGCTTTCAAGAAAGGAAAGAAAGAAGTGAGATAGAAAGAAGAGAAAATCGATAGAATAAGAAATATAAGAACAGTTGTTTTACAGCTATATATTTATCAATTATAAATCTTTGAAATATACCTATGTCCATCTGCAACCCAATCTCTGTTCTCCATTTCATTTGTTGGATGAAAAACATAAACTTCGCCACCTTTTAATATCGAAACGGCATTTAGTGAATTATGTTCTTTATATAATATTAAATGAACATCTAACACTGGAAAATAAATTATAGGTTGAACTTGTTCAGTCAGAACATGATTTGCGGCACTCTAGATTACTGAAATAATTACCGAATAACAGAAAAAATATTATCCGGGTTTAAATTTTCCAGTAGTTACATAAAACTTTATCCATGATTTCTCTGTATTTTGAAAAAAAATTGTGGTCCTATTGTGTGAATGTGCATTAATCCCATTATTCCCAAATTTTCTTTTCTCTTTGCCCAGGGGTAGTCATTAAAGCTTGCATTGATGAGCGGTGCTTCACTTTTTTTCCATTATTCATTTCTGCCCCCAACAAAACAAAAAAAACTGAATTAATGTTTGATTGATCATTAAAAAAGAGATATTGCTTTAGGTTGGTCATAGTGTCTGTACAAATTACAATATTCTATCTATTTTAGTGTAATTTTTCTGTTGTAATAAACTTTCTCCAATATCCCCTGATATGTTACATCGATTATCCATTAAAGTTCATTGCTTTGAAATCCTTAATACATAGCATATTTGTGTGATTCGTTTAAGTTGTTGATTTATTTCTTTTTTTCGTATTTCAGATTTGATGTTTACAGGAAGGTTCCTAAGGATCTGACCCAGCCCACATTAACTGGTGCCTGTATCTCTATCTGCAGTGTTCTGTTTATTCTGTTTCTCTTTTTCTCCGAGCTCTCGCTTTTCATCTCCCATGATGTGTAAGTCCTGAATTGTGTTATCCTACTGTTAATTTTGGTGTACTGACTGACCACCTGATTTCCCTCACCTCCTTGCTAAACTTGCTCAAGCATTTAAATCAGCTTATACAGTGTAATAAATATTCATTTCAGAGTCAGTGAATTGACAGTGGAGGATCCTGTCAAACATTCAGAGAAAATTCCTGTCTTCATCAACCTCACTTTACCCAAGTTAAACTGTAAATGTAAGTCCAACACCACTTTATTAATATTGCATAAAAAGTTATGAAATTGATATGTTTTAATTTAAGAATAATGATGAAGTACTTTTACTACTGATTTTGAGATCAAACTTTTAACTACATCATGTCTAACTTAACCAGATGGACATTGTGGACTATAGGAAATGATTTCTGATTTCAGATCTAGGACTTGACATACAGGATGATATGGGAAGACATGAAGTGGGTTTTCAAGACAATACTCAAAAGTTTGATGTCAATGGGGGAACAGGGTGCCGCATGGAATCCCACTTCCTCATCAACAAAGTAATTAAATTAGACAGATGAATCATCTTTATAAAAGCTAGCTGCAGATCTGTAGCTCTCTGCTTGAGAAAATTTGGACAGATAAAGCAGAGAGCTACAGGTCCAAGCATTGTAAAAACCTTCGATTTACGCCGCCAATTTTTTGTCGCTATGAACTGCCAGTTCATGTTTAACTTCAATGTCTCAGCAATGTTCCCCCTAAAAAGTATAAAGTTATGAATTTTCCTGAAATTACTGTTATAAATTAAAGAGTATCAATATACCCTGTCTTAAATAATAAAGAGAAAATTGCTTTGTAAGAAGATAGCTTTGTTGTTGAGAAGAAATATTTGACAGAAATTTGCGTTTTTGTCCATGAACAGGTGCCTGGTAACTTCCACGTCTCTACTCACTCCGCGGAACAGCAGCCGGATAATCCGGACATGACTCACCTCATCCACAAAGTCCGGTTTGGAATGGATCTACAGGAAGGAAAGGTAGGGTCGGGAAGATATGAATTGAAGGGTTTATTGGCTAGTCTGTTGAAGGATAGGTTACATAGATGATAGAATATAACAATGTTTTATGGGGATTCATGTGTTTTACGAGGAACAAATCATTAATTTATTATCAGACTGATTGAATAAAACTCTAAGCCTACCATGCACATGCAGAATATGTCTTTGATGTTTATTTATTTTATGTTACAGGATGTTTCTGGGTCCTTCAACCCAATGGAAGGCCTGGATAAGACCAAAGCACAAGGTTAGAAGAAAGGTCATGAAAATGATTTAAAATACCTGTCTGAATGAAAGAAATGTGTGTGTAGTGATTGTTTGAAAAGAGGGGAAGATTTTCTCATTTATTTCTATTTTAAAAGAGTATTGGATATATTGTATGAAACTACATTTAACATTGCACTTTATTACAGCAATAGCTACACATGATTACATTGTGAAAATCGTCCCATCAGTGTATGAAGATTCCAGAGGAAACCTACGATATCCATATCAGTATACATACTCTTATAGGGTAAGTGCAAATGGAGATACTAGTTTTCATATTCCAATAGGGTAAGTCCAGCTGTGAATGCTAATTCACCTACTGCTACAGGATGAGTGCAAATGTAGATACAAGTGACATACTCCTACAGGGCAAGTCCAATTTTGTATACACATTCTCTTGGAGGACTTGTCTAGTGCAAATATCGTAACATTGAAAGAGGAGATTCAATACATATGATCTTTTAGAAATAGTCCATAACACATATTCTTACAGGGTTAGTGCAGTAATTGTACTCTTGTGGGAAAGTCTGATACATTTACTATTACAGGGTAAGTTTAATGCACAGACTCATTTAGGTAAATTAATTCATTACATTTTTTTGACTGGTTTCTCTTGGTTTTAGGGTGCCTGTATACTTACTCCTCTGTTTCAAATGGTACACATATTCCTCTGTATGATAAGTCTGTTTTAGAAAACCTATACACAGATATTTCTGTGATTTAAGTCTGTTAAAGATGACATACATATAGTAAACTCCTTTGGGGAAAAAAATTCTATCAGATAACCAACATTCATATACACAGGTCTGTTTTATTTAACCTGTACAGATATACTCGTTTGAGATACAGGTCTGTTTTGTATTAACTGTACTCATACCTTGTTGAAATAGGTTTGTTTTCTATTACCTTTACACATACTCGGGTGGGAAATGACTTCTTTTTATATAATCTGTAATATAATACTCCAGTATAGTAAGTTTATCTCAGATTACTCTACATGTGTGTACATACTATAAATTAGGTACTGTAGTGGATTTTTAATATGCATTTCTTAGGGGGAAAAATAGGATGTGCAAGCCAAGAAGTTACATGTACTTTATGCTGCTGCTCTGCCTGGGATGGGGGTGAAGGGGGTGGATGGGGGGCACCGATAAAATGGGATATACAAGAAGTTACATGTACTTTATGCTGCTGTTCGTTCTGGGATGGGGGTGAAGGGGGTGGATGGGGGGCACCAATAAAATGGGATATACAAGAAGTTACATGTACTTTACGCTGCTGTTCTTTCTGGGATGGGGGTGAAGGGGGTGGATGGGGGGCACCGATAAAATGGGATATACAAGAAGTTACATGTACTTTATGCTGCTGTTCTTCCTGGGATGGGGGTGAAGGGGGTGGATGGGGGGCACCGATAAAATGGGATATACAAGAAGTTACTTTATGCTGCTATTCTTCCTGGGATGGGGGTGAAGGGGGTGGATGGGGGGCACCGATGGGATATACAAGAAGTTACTTTATGCTGCTATTCTTCCTGGGATGGGGGTGAAGGGGGTGGATGGGGGGCACCGATAAAATGGGATATACAAGAAGTTACTTTATGCTGCTGTTCTTTCTCACGCTAAGTTTTGACCTGTAAAGAAATCAAACGTGTTTTATATATGTAAGATTATATAGTAATTTTTTGTGTTCTAAATTTTCCCAATTATTTAGGATGTTATTCAATATGGCCATGGTGGACGGATGATGCCAGCAATCTGGTTCCGCTACGATCTCAGTCCAATTACAGTCAGATACAAGGAGAAGAGAAAACCTTTCTACACATTCCTTACCACAGTAAGTAATGCTAGATTCAGGTTACAACCCATTCATTACCACAGTAAATAATACAAGTTATCCTAGCAGAGGTTTAGTGTACTACAGTAATATTAGTAATCTAGACTGAGGTCAGCTCACTGGATACTTGAACTGATTCCTTATTGTTAAAAGTATCAAATCAAACATCTCATCTGAGATAACTCATGTTTTTATAAATCAGAGAAGAATTTTAAAAAACATGTGCTTTTTACCTTAATTTCTGTTTACAGGTTTGTGCCATTGTTGGGGGAACATTCACAGTGGCGGGGATCATTGATTCCTGTATATTCACCGCCGCTGAAGTCTTTAGGAAGCTGGAGATTGGAAAACTCAGTTGATCTCAGAGAGTACTAGCTCGGGATAAAAATTAACTTCATCTAGTCAGACAGAAACATGGGACAAAAATTAAAACTAACTGCGTTAGGGAGGTCTAAGTATGATTTAACAAGTAGGGAATATTTACTTTTTAAAAATTTTATAATTATTTATGTCCAATTTAATATGTAAGTTATTGATTTAATGAGGAGAATTTGATATCTCAAAAGTTGTTTAATTTTTTTTTTGGTTGATTATTGTCAAAAGTGCGAGGTAGGTCTGAATATTTTTTAAAACAAGTTTTTTTTATAACATCAGCAAGATCTACTAGGGCATGCCGAGACAAATCATTTGGAATGCATTTATTTTGTTAAGTTTATGGTTAGTGAGTATTTGTGCACGTACATGTCTGCGAGTATCATTCTATCATTAATCAAATTTTTCTTGCCGTCACATGAATATGAAATATAAATGTATGTATCATTCATGAGAGAATGTACATCTTTGTGTGATTTTTAAAAAAAAGTTGCTTATTTTATTAAATACTGGAAATTACTAAAATATGCATATATATTTGTAATACAATATTTTTAGTGATTTCCTTTTCTTCTAGCATAGTTTACATAAAAAGTGCCTCTATCTATATAGTACCAGGGTACGAGTCAGTGTAAATGTAGGTCACTTCCTATACACAGGTGCTCACATTCCACAGAACAGAAGGTATTGTAGATATACATGTAGATTTTTACTCATCTGTCAAACATGTATTTTTGGGGTCTTTCTCTTTCCAACCAGGCTTTTGTAGCTTAAACGTGTTTGTTTGTTTTAACGCACATTTTTGTAATTTTACTGAATTATGTTAGGAAATCAAGACCATTAAGTACAATTTGGTCTGTTTTCTTTTTGGCATGCAATATACAACTTTTATGTTCCGTTATCAGTGAAAGTGGGCTCATGTATATGTATATATACAATATTTTCTGTTCAGTCTTATTTTTCCAGATTTATATTTTTATTGTTAGAGGTTATTGAGAGTTGAATATATTCGATGTATTGGTTTGTATGGGAAGAATGATTTGGTTTTGGATTTTTATTGCTAAGTTTTGTTTGTGAAAATGAGGGAGATAGCTGACTGCATGAAAGGTAAAATTAATGATTTACAGCGTTTTAAATCATCATTTTGAAGAAATTCATTGAACTTATTGTATTACGCCTTTTTTTTTTTATAGTTTTGATGAGATCTGGACAAATTTTTATTTTATATAACATTAGCCAGTATATGTTATTGACTTTGAAATTTTGTTATTGACTTGAGTTGAAACTTTGTTAGCGTCTGAAAATTATTGGCATAGTTGAAGCTTAAAATATAGTGTTAGAAGACAGTAATTATCTACATGTAGATCATAAATCTATAGAAACTTTGTCAAGCTTTCTTTGTTTAAGGAAGCATCATTCACTATCCTTTATGAATGAATTGAATTTTTTATGAACTCATTGCAACAAAATAAGCCACGGGACAGATTTTACTGAGAAGCCGAAAGAGTGATACTGCTTACAACTAAGACAACTAAAATCTTATACTTAAAGACATGTATACCTTCATTTGCTGTTGTTGAAAAAGTTCAGTCTACCAATTTTGCTCAATATAATATGCATAAAAAGACTGAAATAGGGATACTAATAATTACTGACAAGCTCTAATCATAAGTACAAATTACTGTTAGTATATGGCAATTCAAGAGTCACACATTGAAGTTTGCAAAGTGAACAAATGTGGGAACAGATCCCATTTGAAATGGCACTGCATGGATACAGGGATATTTTCGTCCCTTTTGCCACCATTCCAAGAATTAGAATTTAAAAATGGGCAAACTCAAAGAAGAAAGCATTATCTCATTCACCAACACATTTCTGTCGTGGCAAATTTTAATGAAGCAGAATTGAAAGTGTGATTGGGAAAAATTAATATGTATAATTAAGCTTCTTGTATTCTGACTAAAATTAAGAAACATCTCTAAAACAAGTTTTTGTAAAAACATGTGTTTCACATTTGTATCACATGTGTCAGATCTCTACAATTTTCAGATGTCAGTGTTTTTCTGAACATCAGTTTAGGACTGATTATTAATGTGTCCTCACATTTTGTCTCTATTTGTCACAAAACAAGTCCCAATATCAAGATGATCAGGCTGTAGATAGGTATCAGAAACATGTATCCACACACTCAAACAAGAAGAGCTCAAAAGAGATACGGTATTTAAATACATGTACATGTATTTTGTATATCATTATTTTAACTTCAGAATATTATTGTTAAGCATTAACTGAATCTGAGGAATGGAGATGATTTTAAATTTCTTTTTTCATGCCTGAGTCAAATTCTAAATTTTTAAATATTAATTGCCAAACATTCAGTTTCAGTAGCAGATCTTTTTGAAGCAAGCTAAAATGTTCAGTACAGTTGGAGTTCACCATTGTGCATACTGCAAAAATTTCATTGAGGAGTAAAATGGTATTTTATTGGCTTGTCAGCTTATTTTTGGGTGCGGGGACCATTTATTCAATTGTACTTGTAATTTCTTTGTTGCAATAAAATTTTTTATTCTACTTGGACATTTTTGTTAACTTTTCTGTTTACCAAGCGAAACATAAATCAACAGAAAGTGTATACATGTATGTAAGCTAATTCTTCTGTTCCAAATTGTTATTGTGTTCAGAGAGACAGCAAAAGTTATCACAAACACTTTTTCTTTTGAAATGAAAATAAAAACGCTGTATGATAAAGGCATCAATTACCACTATAACGAAAACGAGGCCAGTTGTACTCCAAAATGAGGCTGTGACCCGCGGGAGCCTGACGAAAAGTTTATGGAATAACATGTCCCAGATGACACCATCCACGTGACTTACTGATGCCTGGATCATAAGCAAGTGAAATATTTGGTGGCTGTTTCCAATGAAGTCAAATGTTCCAGGAAATAAACGCTCTGGAAGTCGCGCAGAGTAAAAGAACCCGGTGGCGACCATGTTGAATATTTGGATGCCATGGTGATAAATTCCCCCAGTTGTCTCGAAATTCAGAATACGGTCCACAATTGGAGTAATGGATAAAAGATATAAAATGCCAACTCCAGCAGTAGGGAAAATGGTGCGATGTTTTGGGTGAGTTATGACAGCTTTAGAGATGGCACCACAGGTGCAGCAAAAGACTGCAAGGATTGTACCAACGAGTAGTACTCGCCACGGAGTTGTGTTATCAGCATTCTTATGTACCGAGTAGTGATGGTGATTCAAAACGGCACCAAATCCAAAGAGACCAATACAGGCAAAGTCTACCATAAACATGCAGCAATTTACATCTTTTGATTTGTGTGAAAACATGTGAGCCATGCTGCTAGCCAAAAACGTTGCAAAGAAAGACAGAAGGGCCGTCAGCAGAGGCCAAGTATAAGGGTCATAAAGGTCAAAGATGACGGATATCTGGTAAATGCGCGATGTCATCACTAACGTGCCCACAACATGTGTCCAGACGTTGAGAGTCTCCGTGTTGTTGTAGAAGATGCTGTATAAATAGAATTTCCATGGCTGGTGGCAGTATCGATATCCAGTCTCTACGTATGGTATGTGAAAGTATGCTGGTACCTGGGATTTGCTGAGGGTTCTCTTCTTCAATTCCATCTGAAAATAAGAATTGGTGCTTTGAGGACCTGTAGGATTGGGAAGGGAGAGGACTCACCCCCTCCCCCTTTCCATGCAATTAAATTGCAATTTCACTCAGGAGAAACAAAAGAAAGATGCATTTTCGCCTCCTCTGAGTGCATCAAAAACGTATCTATCAGGTATGCACTTTAAATGAAAATATTTATTGAAAGTCTATTCCAACTTATTGTTGCATGCCAAATCTTTAAATTAAGAAAGTGTCTTTTTTTTTAAACTAAAAGATGCACCCCCACTTATTTTATTCACATCATTGTCATCAAGGGATTTCCGATTTCGAAAGATTTCCCCTTTTAATTTTTTAACTTAGGTGCAATGATAATGATGTTGCGTGCCTCTAGTTATATAAATTGTATTCAGAATTTCAAAGATTTTACAATCGCACACAGGCCCAAAAAGAGGATAGAAATGACGGTACTTACCTTGGTGTAGGCAAACTGTGACCGATGTTCTCTTCCCCTGTACATAAATATTATCACTCAGTGTTAAATGTACGTAGAGGGTTAGCAGTTGACCGTTACGTCACACCTACCGTCTATGGGGGTCAGTCTTAGTACACTTACTAGTATACCAACCTCTTAACTCAAGGTGAGAAGAAGATGAACCTTGGTGTCCACTGCTCTCCAGAAGTAGACTTTTCCCACATGATCGCATTAAATGCGTATCATTTTTTAAAGAACATGGCTATTTGTACAAAGATATGGGCTCCTTTTTTTCCAGTGATGCTTTATACCCTTGGTTTGGCTGAAAATTTTAAATATTCAAATTAAAAATGATACACAGTATCACAAAATCAAAGTTGAATAGAACGCTATGTAAAACATGGTAAGATAGATTTGCATCCCTTTTCACAGAAAAATTTACGACTTACTGTAAATGTTTTTAAGTATCATTCATTTGAACGATAAAATGCTTTCTTTGTTTGTTATTACTGGAATTAACGGAAGCAGTTGTTGCAGAAAAAATACAAAACCCGCGTAAGCAGGTAATGTAAATTTTTTCTGCAATAGCTGCGACCTTTAATTCCAGTAATAACAAACAAAGAAAGACATTTTATTGTTTATATTTATATCTGTTTAAATAATCATTAAAAGTAGGATTAAAAAGATTAATTATTGTATTAATGACGCGAACGTCTTTATACATTTCATTGGTGGAACAGCCACTGATCAAGAAATGCCTGAACAGGATAAACATGCCTAATGTAGTTCAATAATGCAGTGATTAAAACGCAGTGGGTTTTCTTAAGAAATAAAGGAGAAAATATTCAGTGGATGTAAATATTTGTTAATAAACATTTTCTGAAGACGTCTCCATATGGCAGTTCATGGCGAACGTTAGAGTGTCTCAAATGCAAGTCAAAATCCAAGGTCAAGATATAAAAAATAATGGTACCTAATGAAAGGTCTTGTCACAAGGAAACATCTCCGATATAGAAAAGCACCAGCACCAATCGTTCAAAAGTTATGGCCAATGTTAAAGTTTTTAAAAAGAGGGTCACTCCCAAGGTCACTGACAAAGGGTCAAAATCAGTGATGCGTAAAGTATGTCTTTTCACAAGAAATGCACACATTCTAGCACTATCTGATCAAAAGATTTTGTTTAAAGCAGACCAAACTCAAATGTCAAATGATCAGAATCTTGGTAACCAAATCTTGTAAAATATAATAGCCCTATCAAACAGGCACCTGACGTTACTTATTTTTCTTTTGATAAATAAAATATACCCTTATATACCTTATTATAAGGTAAGGGTATATTTTTTTTTTTATGAAAAGAAAAATAAGTAACGTCAGGTGCCTGTGCCCTATCAGTAATTGATCAAGAGTTATGATCAAGGTTAGATTTTTTTTCAGGTCTATGTCAAAATCCAAGGTCAAAGGATAACAAGAGCCCCATGGGCCAAAACGCTCACCTGAGCACTGTGACGAGAAAAAAGTAGTTACTGGTTTATTATTGAAAAGTTTAAATCCAAAAGTAGTCCCATGATCAATCATGTATTTGTATTTGTATTTGATAAGATGATTTTTAAAGAATTTTTCTATATACTTTGGTCAGCCATTGTGGCCCCAACCTACCCCCGGGGTCATGATTTGAACAAACTTGAGTCTACACTACCTGCGGATGCTTCCATATAAATATGATCCATTATGGCTTTGCCATTCTTGAGAAGAAGATTTTTAAAAAGTTTTTCCTATAAATTTCTTTGAAAAAATTGATTGGCCATTGTGGCCCCGCCCTACCTCCAGGGTTCATGATTTGAACAAACTTGAATCTACACTATCTGAGGATGCTTCCATATAAATATGATGAATTATGGCTTTGTCATTCTTGAGAAGATGATTTTTAAAGAATTTTGCTATATATTTCTATGTAAAACTTTGGTCGGCCATTTTGGCCCCGCCCTACCCCCGGGGGTCATGATTTGAACAAACTTGAATCTACACTACCTGAGGATGCTTCCATATAAATATGATGAATTATGGCTTTATCATTCTTGAGAAGATGATTTTTAAAGAATTTTGCTATATATTTCTATGTAAAACTTTGGTCGGCCATTTTGGCCCCGCCCTACCCCCGGGGGTCATGAATAATTTGAACACGTCTAAAGGAGAAAAATATTCAGTGGATGTAAATATTTGTTAATAAACAAACTTGAATCTACACTACCTGAGGATGCTTCCATATAAATATGATGAATTATGGCTTTATCATTCTTGAGAAGAAGATTTTTAAAGAATTTTCCTATATATGTCTATGTAAAACTTTGGTCGGCCATTTTGGCCCCGCCCTACCCCCGGGGTCATGATTTGAACAAACTTGAATCTACACTACCTGAGGATGGTTCCCCATTAGTTTCATCTTTCCTGGCACAGTGGTTCTTGAGAAGAAGATTTTTAAAACATGCCACCAAATTTTCATTAATTCCCAATTATCTCCCCTTGAATGAGGGCGTGGCCCTTCATTTGAACAAACTTGAATCCCCTTTACCCAAGGATGATTTGTGGCAAGTTTGGTTGAAATTGGCCCAGCGGTTCTTGAGAAGAAGACGAAAATGTGAAAAGTTTACAGACAGACAGACAGACGGACGCCGGACAAAATGTGATCAGAAAAGCTCACTTGAGCCTTCGGTTCAGGTGAGCTAAATATTATCAGTACCCATTGAAAAGTCTTACTACAAGTAATAAAACCTAATCCCAAACATGACCATGGTTAAGATTTGAAAAAAAATGTGTCAACAGATCAAATTTGTTGGTACACAAGGGAAGGTTTGTCACAAGAGCTGTACAAGTGAAAAATAAAAGCCTAGCACTAACTGTTGAAAATTAATGGCCAAAGAAAAATGTTCTTCGAATTAGAACAAACTCCAAGGCTTAAATATTTGTACCCAAGGGAATGTCTTACCACAAGAAATTTGGAGTTTTTTGTTTGTTTGTTTTGTTTGTTTGTTTGTTTTTTTTTTTTTTTTTTGGAGACCAGGTCTTCCAACAATCTATAGGAATTCCCATGAATACCAATTGCGCTCCGTTAGCAGAGCTGATGCAGAATTTATTCAAATCTTATGCACGAGGCCTTTTCCTCGACGTTTATATATCGACGACGTATAATCAATGAACAGTAGCTGTTTCCATTCATATATTGATACAAAACATCCCAGTGAGCTTTAAAGATGCATGGTGTGGTGAGCAGACATTTACAATTGAACGCTACCGGTGAATCGTAAACGTCAACAATAACAGAGCTCTTAATGCCCTGTTTACAAAAACTGTTTTACGTTTCACGGGTGTGATCAATTTTCTAAACTCTGTACACAACATTTAGCGCGGAATGACGATACTTGTGAAGGGGATTTGCTTCCTTACAATTTTTAATCTGAATATAATTATTTTTCTGGATT